AATTAGTGTTTTTGGTCTTCTTTTATCAAGTCTAAATATCCTAGACATGATGATATGAGACCAAGAATTACAGACTCACCTATTTGGAAGAGGATGTGCTCCGTTCATGATTTGGCCTCCTCAATGGTTAATTCTTCAGGCCCTTCAACTCCTCAGCAATTATCCTGGAATCATTCTATCAATGGTCAATTTACATTGAAATCTGCCTATCATGCTATTAGACACTCTATTGGCTCAACTTTTTCTTATAAACACGTGTGGCACCCTTAGCAACAACTTAAAATTCAGTTGTTTCAATGGAAACTATTCAGAGGAATCCTTCCTATTTTGGATAATCTCATTCGTTTCAGAAAAATTATTCAGCATTCTATTTGCCCTCTGTGTAGGTGTAATGGAGACACTCCCAATCTTATATTCCTAGAATGCAATTTTTCTAAATCTATTTGGGCGTATTTTGCCAGAATTATGAATATTACTTCATCATCTCGTATTCATTCTATTCATAGTAGATTCTTGGGATGGTGGTTTGAGGCTGGTAGTAAGAATCTGATTGATATTTTTAAGATTAATCTACCAAGTATTATCTGCTGGAATATTTGGAAACTTTACACAGAGTTAATATGGGGCTCTCGTATCTCGGTACCCAAGATTGAACATACTGTTTGGCAAATCAAGATGCATACACAAAATTGGACTCTTAGCCTATCTAAATTGAAGCTCTGTAACATAGATATGATCCTTTTTGAGGAAGGGCTTATTCCTAAAGATTTTCGCGTGACACAAAAAATCATGAAACCTATTTGTTGGAACAAGCCAGTTAAAGGTTTAAAGTTGAACGTGGATGCATCGTTCATACATGGGAAGGCTTCTGGAGGTGCGATTTTGAGAAACCAGGCTGGTGAGTTGATAAGAGCTATTGCCTTCCCTCTCTGTGCATCTTCATCTTTGGAAGCCGAGATGTTAGCGCTGATGAAATCAACCAGGTGGGCTTTGGATGAAGGCTTCCACGGATTCCAAGTCGAGTCCGATGCTGAAGCGATTTTGAGCTACCTCTCAGGTAAATTAAACTTCGGTGGAATGGAAGACATTGTTGGCTTCAGACAGATTTGTTTTAGGAAAGGTGTCAGATTCCAACACATTTTTAGGGAAGGTAATCGCCTTGCCCATTTTCTCGCTGCAGAGTCTCCGGCCCATTTTACTTGTCGGACTTCGGTCAATGACTTACCCGTCCCGGTTAGAATAGAGTTTAATTTTGATCTTTTTAATATTCCCTATTTTAGATTATTTGTATAATTTCTTATGGGGAGGTTTTGATCTAGTCCCCCTCTCTTGTATTCTTCTCTTTTTTATTTATAAAATCCGGTAAATGTTCCCCAGCATTTACCCCACTGATTTTGGTGGTTTGCCTTCCGGGTTAAAAAAAAAAGGAAACATAGAGCGCAGAGAAGAGAACGAGAGAAGAATCGGTGGACATGAGAGAGGGAGGAATGAGTAAAAAATAAGAGTGGACTGGTAAAAAGAAAAATAGAGATATATATACTGCGTACGGTTTGTGTACATTGCATGTACACTAAGCATTTCTGAAACTTTATCGCAAGGATGTCTATGCTGGAATACTATTCCAAAAAGTACTACTCTTTTAATGCACTGAACCTATACAATATATGTTACTATCGTATTTACTTGCTCCGTACTTTTCCAGTGGGGAACATATTCATACGGAGAATGCCTTAAGAAAGTGATGGTGATGTTTTTGAGCGGCAAAACATTCGGCCCAAACCTACACGATGGACTTCGGTCCATGAAAATTGTAATTTTCGTGATTTCTTTTTTTAAGCTATTTTTCTTTATGTTGACATTTTTGGGGGGAAATAGTGTTCCCCAAAAATCTTTTTCTTTTATATTAGAATAGATTTAGAAATTTGTAGGAGAATTGCACCGGAAGAAGGGGTCTACACTAATGCCATATGCACAATAATATACTAGATTGGGATCGATGTCATATTCCATACTAACAAACCATGATAAGTATGATACTCTCACATCCGCAATTTATACGGTACACCCGGGTGTACGTGTACACTGGGTATTTTTGTAAATCCCGCCAATGGGTGGCGATGATCGTCCCCTTAAATTGGATGCCTGGTGTCCCGTGGTGCCTTCCAAGTTGTTGAGCCACTCTGTGTCTCCTGACGTACGTCTCCTGATGCGCTGTTTGCCTGCTTAGATACCCCATGAGAGGAGGCCGTACGTTGTCACCGCTTACTGCCATTTTGGTGCAGGACTGAACGTCGTCACTGCCTTGGACCACTCTGAGGGTATTTACCCAACAGGGTTGTTGAAATTGGGCTGAAGTTTAAACAAAATTACAAATAAACATGGATGTACGGTTCTCACTCATACACCCCGGGTGTACTATATACGGACCGCTCTCACATCTAGTACGATGTCATTGAATTTCAATAAAATAAAAAATGGGTATTAGACCTAAATATGACTAAAATTAGCCCAAAATTCAACAATAGGAGTGTTGAGTGTGTTTCGAAAAACAAAGAAAAATAATTAATAAAAAATAATTAATTAAAATGACTAAAGAATACAAAAAACAGATGGAACATAAAATTAGTCAGAGCTCATTCTAGGAGCGTTGCAATGATCTTTTCCCAGGATACGGTGGCTAAAGAACTAACGTTTGAGCACACAAACGAAAGTTCTGGCGAACGGAACCACAAGAAGAACACGGAGGAATTTTTCGGGGAGCTGGAGGTGGTTTTAGCTGAGGGAAAAAGTGCAGATTGTGTATGATTGCATGTGTTGTTGTAAAGCACATGTCAACTTTTTATAGGAGGATTTGTTGTGTGTTAACGTGAGAGTTAAAGGACCTGAACATCAGACATCAATGACCAGTCTGTTGGGCATTGAATCGTCCATGAACTACTGCATAAATGCATAAGAACGTTGGACATTTATTGTTGTAACAGTTCTGAACCGTTCAGCCGCGCGACCAGAATACCCTCACCAGAACACCCTACGAGGCGTTCTGGTCTGAACCCAGTAGAATACCTCATGGTCTTTCTGGTTCCGAAGCCAACAGAAACCCTCTCAGGTCTTCTGGTTCGGAAGCCAACAGAAAGCGGAGCAGTTTTGGTTCTGGGCAAAAATAGAACGTTACAGGGAGAAACAAAAATTAGATCGTATCTTTGAAAGATAGATTTTTGGACGACATTCATGTCCGCAGTTTTTCTTCTCCGTTTTCGGGATTTGATCGGCACCTCCCACCGCGCGCGAAGAGAGCCTTTCCCGTAGGAATCTTAACTCATTCAAAGAGGGTTTCCTTTATAAGGGGTGAAAATCCCTTGGGTTTTCCGGTGTGAGATAAATCCCACTAGAACTTCATCATTTTCCCTGTTTTTCTATTTCAACTAGTGAACATCGAAAATCAATTTCTCATTCACCCGTTATCCGTTTTGAGTGTATCATATATCGAATTGTAGCCCTTAGCAAGGACAATCCGAAACCACTTTGAGCCGACCCAAATCGGAAGTGGACCCCACTCAAAATATTGCCCCAAAATGACCATTTTATGCAAAATTTAACACATTTTTCCAACAAAGAGTACAATTTCTTTATTCACAAAATAGGACTAATATATGTCCCTTCTACCATTCTACCCCCTTCCTTTAATTTCTAATAGATTTATTTTATTAATAAGAAAATCATAGTTTTATTTATAATAAAAATATAAAAAATAATGAAATATTTATAAATTAAATATAAAAGCGATAAAAAATAAAATAAAATAGAAAAATTTAAAATAAATAAATAAAATATTTAAAAAACTTTAAAAAAAGACTAAAACATAAAATAAAATACCTACTGCATATTTATAAAATATGCAGGTCACTGCCAACGCTTCCTTTACCTCCCAGCACCATCAGCTTCGGTCACCGGAAAAAAATGTCATCTTGTGTAAAAAAAATGCCACATTTCTCTGAAAATGTCATGAAGATGACATTTTTACTCTTTAAAAATATCAAACTTTCTCTTCAAAATTGCCATCATGATGACATTTCTCCCTAACTTGGGCCACTTGGCAATCTTTTCCGGCGACCGGAGGTGGCGGTGCTGGAAGGTGGTTGAGGTGGTGGTTGAGGTCTGTATATTTTTTATTTAATTTTTACGATTTTTTTTATATTTTACAATGATTGTTTAAAAAAAATACTATTAGGAAGGACAAAGGAAAGGGTAGAATAGGAAGAGATGGTCCTATTTTGGAAATTTAAACTTTAAACTTCTATTGTTGCAATTATCCTTTTATTTAGTCCTATTTAGGTAAATCTCCAAATAAAAACGCACAATGAAACAATTTGTTCCTCGCTCCATCAAATAGTTATTCCCTCCCCTCCCAATGTGAAATTTAAATCGCGTGGCATATCTTCTATTAACTCATTCATAGTTCTTAAATAAATGCAACACTTTGACTTTTACACTATTCACATGTTCTACTTTGACTACGTTTTATTTATTAATGTTATAATATTATTTTATGAAAAATTATTGTTAAACTTGTCTCATTGTAAATTTTCATAATCTAATTTTTTTAATTTTTTTACTAATACAAAATCATTTATATTAATGGTCAAAGTTATGTCTCGGCAAGTGTGAAATGTTGACCGTTGCATTTATTTAAGAAAGGAGGAAGTACAAAAGAGAGTGTAATTGAGGCCACTTTTCCCGCCCAAATGACAAGCAAAAAATGAGTCGGATCGGGTTTACAAGACAAATTTCACATTACTGCCTGAACTTGCATTTAATGCTCTGCAATACTGATGTGACTGTATTGTACTTTATTTTAAAATTCAAATGGGTTGCGTATTAGAGACAATTGCCTGTCGTATGATTTGTCCTTTATATATAGGCAAATCAATTTTTTGAGATATGAAGTACGAATTTCATAATATCTGGATATTATTCAAATAAAAAAATTGGTAAATGTCAGACTGCAGTGTGTTATCTTTTCAAATTTCATATCATCAAAATTCAAAGGACAATACATATTATTGACCATTGGGTAATATGTCATACACAATCAAACTCTTCAAAAATTGAAGTATAAATATGACAGAATTTTATGAGCGGCAACATAACAAATCAATGGCATTGAGAAGAGAGGATTATAGGGGCCATTAAAGCTCTTCCGCATTACAAGGGTGGGAAGAACCAAGTGTTTTTTCATGATAGGTAATCATAAGCCCATTACATCTCTGTTAACAATAACACAAGTATAGGTCTTCGGACTATTGTTCATCTGAGGCTAATATTCATCGAAATAGACAGGCAGATGTATTTGTGCAATAATGAGTAATCAGTGAGATCTACCGAATGAGACCTGTTTAATCGGTTCTTAATAGTGTTAGTGTTTAGTGTGTAAAATTTTCATATTTCATATGTTTTTTTGCAGGATTGATAGTGATACATCGAGAGCAAGAGATTGTGTGTATCACTATCAACATTCAATAGCAATAGTAGAGGAAATGCTCAAACAAAAAATAGGTAGATTAGATTGCTTTTGAAATGTAATGTAATATGGTTTACAAAAACAACAATTGCCAATGCAAAATACACTATATTTTAAGATATTCAGTGTTATAGTCTTATAGATTTCGAATTGAACCGTTATTTCAACTTCAACTTTTGGTGTAGTTAATAGGACTACAAAACACACTTTTGAAATAAAAAACTGCATATAATACCAAATAAACCAAATATGCATATAATAGGAAGATTTAGGAATCATTGAAAATTGTGACATAAAGTGTACCCATTTTTATTCATTTAAAAAAAATACTGCATCCAAATTGTGACAAAAATGATAAACAGAGAGTATGTAATACAAACTCATATCAATTGAGGATTTGGACTGAGACAACGACTACTGTTTTGCAATCAGTTTTGTCTGTGTGAGATTTATGTGTGTATGAGGATTCATACATAATATATATAATAAAGTATAGTTCAATTACATATGTATATTCATGTATTTATGTTCAAAAAGCTTATGAATACAGATAACTTTAAATAAGAATATAAATTAAATAACGTATCAATAATTGAGACAAAGATTTGGGTCTTTTTAAAATATGTATACTTATTTTAAGCTTATAACAACTTGAGTTTATAGATGGAATGTCAACATTGAAATCATGACAGAAAGTGTACACATGAATATATCACAATTAGAATACTAAAATTAACTTCAGATATCTCCACCAAAATCATAGATATAAATATATTGTTATATTCACCCCCAAAAACTTACATGTACTAGAGTATGTAAATCCTTTTATACAAAGAATTTGGTGGGTATACGTATGTGTGTATCAGATATTTATTTAAAATTGTTATTCAATTGGTTGAGAGATTAAAATGAAAAAAGCACTTCTAGATAACATTTTGCTTTGCGTAAAAACTGAAAGCAAATTGAGCAACCAACAAAGAAAGACGGATTGTCCCCCCTTTTAAAAACAAAAAGAAACTTAATGTAAGCAAACATAATAGAACAGATTGTCCGACTATGTGCATAATAAAATCGAAAAAGAGATAGAAATCGAGAGCATGCAGACAACATCATAAGTGATAGACGTGGTCTGAGACGAGTGGTAAACAATCCTTTACAACAATATAAACAATACTCTATAAATTCAAGGACAGAGATGAGAGGTATATACCCAAATCACAAGGATTGTAGATATGGTCAGATCATTTGGTTATCCCTTAGCCATGGTAAGTGTTCCAATTGTCGAATAAGGCAACACGAAACCAAAAAACATTGAATCGATGTTTTAAACATCAATATCATCAAACAAGAGCTAATAATCGACTGTCGTCAGTGATTGAAGACTGCTTGAAGGACTGGTATCGTAAGAAAATGGAAGAAAGCCTACAGAACGAGAGTGACCGGCAAGGATCATCGGAAGGATCGATGGTCGTTTGAGGAAGTGTACGGATAAATGAGAGATTAAGGGAGATACACACCCTATATGGCTCTGTTAGGTTTGGGTAGCCGGGGTCAGTTTTAATATTTGATTTTGGGCTGGGTTATATGGGCTCGCTGGGATGTGTGTATGTGGCTTTTAAAAGGTTGATATGGTTATTGTGATTGTCACTTCGTATAATTTTTTTTCATGGGTTATACATTACTATTATTGTTATCATTATTATTATTATTATTATTATTATTATTATTATTACTATTATCACTATTATTACTATTATTATTATTCTCTCAAAAAAAATATTAGCATTATTATTAGTATTATAGCCTATTTGGTGACTCTGTTTTTCGGCTTATCAACCAAGTTTCTAACCAAACACGTAACTTTTAATTTCCCACGCTAATTTGTGTAATAACAAGAAAAAGTAAGGTTAGAGTAGCTTTTTTGGATGTATTGGCTGAACTTACTTTAGATAGCCATTTTAGCTATTTTTCATATAAATTTTCTTTATTCTATTAATAAAATATAATTTAAAATTTCCCCCATAAATCAGCAGAATCAGCCAATAGAACCACTTCAGACAGCATCTCATAAATTTCAATAAAATCAGCCGATCCAACTGATTTCGGTGTTACCAAACGGGATCTTATTATTATTATTATTATTATTATTATTATTATTATTATTACTATTATTATAGTTATTATATTATTATTATTATTATTACTATTATTATAGTTATTAAATTATATGTTATCATATACTACCTCCGCGCAGATAAAGGTTCAAGCCTACTATTCTTCGAGAAACGTAAGTTGTTCTTACTCTTTTATTTCATACTCCTATATCTAACTTTATCAAATTTGAGTTTTTATGCAACTTTATAAAAGTTTTTAGTGAAATTTCTGAAATCGATCATACTATCATTGTTGTTTACAAGGAAGTGTTTCGTAATGTATGCACTGCGTAAACGACTTTAATATGCACCTCCGTTTTCTTTTCGCTCATTTATACATTATAATTTTATGATTTTTTGGGCGTTACTTTAATGTTAATAAAGAACATTACATCACTATATTAAATTTTATACCGTGCATCGCACGGGTGAGAATCTAGTGTAAAGTGTAAACTGCTAAACTCACGTAGTGGCATATGTAAACTGCTAAACTCTTGAGCACGGTGATCTTTGTTGGGTTTCAAATATGAATCACATGAAGTGAAAAAACAAGATAGAGCTTGAAGAAAAGTTACAGGTCTTCAAAAACAAATATGAACTTTTATTTTAGATTAATAAAACTTCTATTTCGAATTGATGGTGAAGGAGAAAAAACTAGATTTACTTTGAATATGAAAAAGAACAAAATTATGGTCAGATTCTTACTATTTTGATGAAAGAAAAGAAGATAATTGAAGAAGAAAAAAACAAAAGAATCGAGGAAGGAGATGGCCAAAAAGATTGGTGAACAAGATAAACGAATCACCAACGAAGTAGATTATTTTTTGCATTTTTAAATATATAATAACATCGTATTGGGATCGGTACACTACACGTGATGTAACGATTTCACGGTAACAACATTTTTCTTATTATTCATATACAATAAGAGCGGTGTTCATCTCACCGGACTTTTTGCCCTCAGAATCCTCCTTGGATGCCCCAACACCACCAAAAGAGCCTTTACCGGTATAAGGGGGCATCAACTCAAGACTAGAAGTATCACACAACCCGACAACCTAATAATGAATATCATGATCTCTACTTCATATCTTTTAATTCACATTCTTTTTCTTATTTTTCCTTCTATTAAAACTTATCAAATTATATCAATAATCAACCCGTGTGAATTTCAATAAGGGAAGTAAATGTAATGTGGTACTTTTGAAATATGCATTGATATGACATTTCACAAATTAAATAAGCTCAAAATCAGTACCAAATGAGCATATGTAACTTACAAAATGCGCATTTATATGAAAATCGTAAGATTTGTTAGTTGAACATGACAATGTTTTCATTCAACACCAAACATTCTCTATTGAGATGAAAATCATAGTTTCTGTAAAATGAGCACTGATGAGCTTCTACTGAGCATAAGACCTATTGTGTTGACTGTTGAGTATTAGGAGTCTAATATTGAACATCGTGATATCTGCTTCATATATTTTAATTTAATATCATTTTCTTATTTTTTCTTTTATAATAATAATTAAATTATATCTATAATCAAGTATTATGAATTCCAATATGCGGATCTAATATCACTACTAGAATTTCTGTCATTTGATGCTCCCTTTTTGTTGCGGTTATAAGCACGATCGCAGCAAAATGTTAAAATTTAATACTATTTGCGGCGGGTATGGGGTAATCGCAGCATTAGGTCCAAAAAATATTAGTCTATTTGGTGCGGTCACGTAGGAACCACAACAATTGACATGTAAATTTTTTTTGCCCACTTTTTGCTGCGGGTACAAGACGACCGCGTCAATAAGTCCTAAAAACCTAATGCCTCGGCCAACCAACCTATGATATGGTACTTTCGAAATATGCATTTTAAAATGAGCATACCATAAGTACCAAATGAGCATACGTAACTACAAAATGAGCATTGATATAAAAATTGTAAGATTTGTTAATTGAGCATCAAAACATTTTCAGTGAGCATTAAACATCCTCTATTGAGTATTAGAATCATGCGATTGAGTATAGTGATTTGTGCTTCTGTGTCTATAATCAACTGCTATGTAAATCTAATGTAATATGATACTTTTGAAATATGCATTGATATAATAATTTAAAATGAACATAACAGTGATACCAATTAAACATATACTACCTCCGTCCCTTAAAACTTTGCCAAAGTTGACTGGCACGGAGAACAATAAAGTAAAAATTGTGTGGTTGAGGTTTGTGCACTGAAGAGAGAAATAACAGAAACCACAAAATAATTGATTAAAAGGGAAAGTGGCAAAGCTTTTTGGGACGTCCCAAAAAGGAAAGATGACAAAGTTTTTTGGGACGTCCCAGGAGGGAGTATAACTTAAAAAATGAGTATCCAAGAATTCAAAGGCTCATTTGTGTATGTTCATTCCTTTTAAGTGTTTTTACTCATTTGAGTTTAACATAAAACTCATTTCTAATGTGCTCAATATTAATATATAAAGTTGAACATTAAATTGATTTAATCATTAAAGCTGCGAGTTAAAAAGGGAAAAAGAGAAAGCTGATGACTTTTACAAACGCAACAATTGCGGAGGATGTTTTTAGCAACAAAAGAAGAAGCATTTTGGAGCTCCAGTGTGCGGTGTACCGTAGAAAATCGAGTTATTCAAAGACATCAAACATTTCAGCCTCACAATCAGAATCCTTTCCTCTCTCGGTACTCGGAGTAGGGTCCAGCTCTGTCGGTTCACCTTCTCCCCCCATCAGCTATGGTGATTCTATGCAGATGACTGGAAGCGGGAAAGATGATAGCCTAAAAAAGCCTGAGATGCCTGCGCAGGATTCAAAGATTAGGGATCAGAGATTCATTGATCAGAAGGCTTAAAGTTGCTACACATTACAAAAATACAGGGTGTACAGTTACACACCCGGGTGTGGGATATAATTTGCGCCGTATTATATAACATCTCTACATTTAACACACAAATATTTGTATAATTGTAAAGAGCGAATTACGTAAATAGGATATAATCCCCCCTATCGTTGACCTACCCCCTACCGCCTCTGTCGACCTCTAGAATCCGCCTGAAAATTCCAGAATCTATTCGCCGCCACATCTCACTGGAGCTCCACCACCACCGCCACCACCGGACTACTCTGCCACCAACAAATTATCCTGGTTATGCAAGGGAACTTTTTTTTTACTCCAGGGGGTCTGTGGGAGGGGGTCTGGGGGGCCTGTAGTAATCAGGGTTGAAACTCACTCCATTGAATTTCAAACCCGTATGTGCCTATCGGGTTTCGAACGTGAGACCTCCCACTAGGTACGGTAACCTCACAACCAGCTGGGCTGGAATGCTTGGTTGGAACTAAGTGGACAATTAATTAATTAATTAATTAATTAATTAATTAGATTAGGGGTATTAAGCGTAAAATTTTTATATTGGGAAAAGTGTCAAATAGACACATCTACTACTGCGAAAATGTCAATTAAGTCCACCAACTCAAATAACCTTCAATTAAACCCATGAACATTAAAAAATGTTCAAACCGGCTTTTTACCAGGTTAACATTTGGTCATCAGGTAAATAACAGACGTGGCGACACGTGGCGTTTTATACTTTTCCCTTTTTCCCTTTCCTTTCTTCTTCCTCCCCCTCTCCGGGTTCATTGTCTTCACCCAGTTTCTCCATGCCTCCCACCACGTTATTTTCTTTTCCTATCATTTTTTAGTCTCTCCCTTTGGCTTACAAACCTAAATCCCCTGTTTCTCACTTTTATATGCTTTTTGGATTTTGACATGGAATCACATGCCCATCTAATCCATGAATAGGGAAAAATAATAAAAATACCCCAAACTTTGAACAAAAATTCCTTTTGTACACTTTCTTATACACATCAGTACACCCCCGTGTGTGTGAGAGCTTTTTTTGTCTGTGAATCTCAGTCCACAGACAAAAACTGGCTTGTTTTGTCTGTGGACTGTGATTCACAGACAAAAAAAAACTCTCACAGACATTGGGGTGTACTGATGTGTATAAGAAGGTGTACACCAAAAATTGTTGAACTTTGAAAGGGTGTGAGGTAAACACCCCAAACTTTTAACATGTAATTTAAATACCCTAAACTTTATATAAAAAGTTATTTTTGCACCATTGTCATGTATTATTTCTTTCAAAAATGTAAATTTATGAGGTTAATTGCATAATTTAAAATAGCAAATTAAAAGTGTTGCAATTATATAGATTGGGGATAACATTATTTATTTCGCAATAGAAGTTTAGAATGTTGATTGTGTCTTCATGAATTATAAAATATTTTAAATTATGCAACTAACACCATAGACTTACATTTTTTAAAAAAACAATACTTGATTATGGTGCTAAAATAACTTTTGATACAAAGTTTGAGCCATTTAAATTACATATGCAAGTTTGGGGTGCTCATCTCACACCCCTTCAAAGTTTGGTGTATTTTAATTATTTTTCCCCCATGAATACATAAGAAAATTGAGAATAATAAATTAGATTCAAATAACAAATTGATGGGATTCCACAAAGAAGACCGGCCCATCCAATCCACGAACACTGGCACCAATTTGAGCTTTTTATACGTGTTCATGGGTTTAATTGAGGGTTATTTGAGTTGGTGAACATAATTGACATTTTCACAGTAGTAGGGGGAGTCTGTTTGACACTTTTTTCTTTTATATTTAATCCTATTTAAGAAAGATTTAGATTTCACTCCTATTTGTTTACATTTATTTCTATTTATAGTACTACTAAATTATAAGTTGGATATACATGCTACAATAGCATAATACTCATTCGTCCCACCGCACTTTGCCAATTTTTCTTTTTTGTTTGTTCCAAAAACCTTTACTACTTTCTTATTAAAACAATGAATTTGTTGCTTTGTTTGTTTTACTCTTTTCTGCTCAAATCTCGATCACACAATTTTTGCTATTCTAGTTAATCACCCAATGTCAACTTGACAAAGTTGAGTGAAACGAAGGTAACATATACCCCATACATAGATACAGGTTGGGTGAGGATTGAGAGGGGCCGCTGCCCCTAATCCCCTGAATAAGGTTGCTTTTACTTGGACTGTTATTTGTCCCAGACCAGACCAGACCACACCAGACCAAATCAGACAAGACCAGACCAGACCAGACCATATTTTATTATTATTATTATTATTATTATTACTATTACTATTACTATTACTATTACTATTACTATTACTATTACTATTACTATTACTATTACTATTACTATTACTATTACTATTACTATTACTATTACTATTACTATTACTATTACTATTACTATTACTATTACTATTACTATTACTATTACTATTACTATTACTATTACTATTACTATTACTATTACTATTACTATTACTATTGTTGTTGTTGTTGTTGTTCTTCTTGTTATTATTGTTATTATTATTATTGTTGTTGTTGTTCTTCTTCTTCTCCTCCTTCTCCTTCTCCTTCTCCTTCTCCTTCTCCTTCTCCTTCTCCTTCTCCTTCTTCTTCTTCTTCTCCTTTTCCTCCTCCTCCTCCTCCTCCTCCTCCTCCTCCTCCTCCTCCTTCTCCTTCTCCTCCTTCTCCTTCTCCTTCTCCTTCTCCTTCTTCTCCTTCTTCTCATCATCATCATCATCATCATCATCATCATTATCATCATTATCATCATTATCATCATTATCGTCATTGTCATCATTGTCATTATTGTCATTATTGTTATTATTGTTATTATTATTATTATTATTATTATTATTATTGTTTCTATTATTATTACTATTATTATTACTATTACTATTACTATTACTATTACTATTACTATTATTATTATTATTATTATTATTATTATTATAAGTAGTAGTAGTGTTATTGTTGTTATTATCAGTACACTTATTATTTTATTATTGTTTGGTTTAGTCTGTTCATATTTTAAGTCATACAAGTGACAGAATAATATAGATGATCTTGATTTATAAAATACAAAGAAATTAAAATAAATAAATAAAATCTTGATTTGTAAAAAAAATTGTATGAATAATGGGTAAACTATAAATCTTTTTAGAAAAAAGTACTATAAAATAATTAATATCATCATGCATCCGTTGCTCTGGGTTTCTGAACGTCTTCCCAAATTTGTTTCGCAATTTCCACACGAACATTGTTCATAGCTTCTTTTCGCCCATTGTTGAACATATCTGAATCAACTATGCCTTCTCCATTCCCTTCATGTTCATAAATTGGCATTCCTATTTTGCACATGCTGATAAAATTATGAAGTGTAAAAGTAGAGAAAATAATTGCTTGTTGATGCTCTTATTTTATTTTCGGCATATTGTGAAGTATCTTCCACCTTTTCTTCACATGTGGAAATGCTCTTTCAATGGTAGTTCTCAGTGATGAGTGGCGATAATTAAAATGTTCCATTACTCCTCTTGGTTTACCACCGTCATGAAATTCTGGCACGTGTTTCCTCATTCCCGCATCATCATATGGAGCTAAATATCCAAGTGTGTTTGGATATCCTCAATCTACTAAGTAATATTTACCTACATTTTCAATTTACTTTGTTAAAAAGATACTATTTTATATTTACAAAAACCTTTAATAATAAATTTATTTGTATCTTATACCTGGTGGGGGGGGGGGGGGGTGAGGAAAATGATATTTTGATTGCATTAAGGAATCAACCCACACTCTTACGCCGTGAGCGCTTCCTTCCCAACCAATATTGACAAACGTGAAAAGTTTATCAAATGAACAAAATGCTAAGACATTCCAGATTTTGATTCCTTTGCGTCCTCGAAACGGCACCCCCTTTGCATCTGATATAACTGCTTCTATGTGAGTACCATCTAATGCTCCAACTGAATCCTAATACAATAAATAAAAAACAGAAATAAAGTCTAACACATATACAAAAATAAATTAGTTTTCATTGACTTTTAAAAACGTTGAATAATTCATATATATACATTGAAATACGGCCAATATAAGGAACTGTTGAAAACTATGGTGTGGACGTCCAACCAACTGTGATGTGGCCGAATTATGTCAAAAGATAACTCAACCAATGCAATACTAGATTGAAATATTTGCATATGGTTCTCAAAGAATGCTTAAAAACATCAGCTGCATCTGTGTAAGAAGCTCCCTTGGCCAATATATAGAGACCAATTCCGATTTGCTCTGCCACATGAATGAATCTGCTGTCTTTCAATAAATTTCTTTCAACCATAATATTCACAAGGTGGATGAACATTTCTCTCGTCAACCTTAATTGCTCTTTACACAATCCAGGATGACCATTCAACATTCTATGTATATATTCACCTCCCGTTTCTCCACCTACTCTCATTGGTATCCTAGTCTTCTTTTGTTCATCATCTTCTAGTAATGATCTCAGCTCTTCTAATGGAATAATTATACATGACCGTCTAACTTCAACATTCATTCTACACAAGTAAAATAATGAATTCCAATGCACATTAAAATAAATGGTAAACACATGTTATAACAACGATAACACGAGATGTTTGTAAAAGATAACAATCCACATAATTTTAGTTCAAACAAACATATAAAAAGTTCAAAACGAATAGACAAAATTTTAGCATGTTGAAAATAAATAATCTTAAGTTCAAAACGCCATATCACAATCTTGATTGCCGTAAGGAACTCCTTTCTGTAGAAACATCCACCTCTGATTTTCAGATCGAAGTGTCACAAAGACCTCACCCTTATTACCTTCACTTAAGAAGGTCATAGCATCCGCATAATATTGATCACCGTATTTCTTGTCAACCTCCATCTCATCAAGAAGTTTAGCCACCTTTTCGATCACAGATTGCTGTTTTACTGAAGCAAGCTTCACGATTTCTAAACATCTATCTATTTCCCCTCGCTTTCGTGCTAAGCTTTCATCGACGTTGTTTTTTCCCTTTCGCTTCTTAGTTGATGCGGATGATTGATCTACCATAATAGGTGAATCACTTTTTTCACCATAAACTGTATCATGACTTTCATTTTCATCCGAACTATCACTACCGGTATCAATAGATTCTTCAGTGTTTATGTTCTGAGTCTTTTGGACCGTGACATTACTATTGAGAATGGGTGTTGTCCTAGCGCTAGCAGGTGAGCTACCTCGTACACCATGTGCAGTTTATCCTTGGAATAAAGCTTCTAGATACTGAAGATATGACATATGCTTCTTAACAACTGTAGCTCCATGTCGCTTATGTTTCTAAAAGATATATTATATTTTTATTTAATAATACAATTAAATAATATTAGTAAATAACTTTTATTTAGAGAATAGAATTTGAAATTAAAGAAAAACGCAAGTGCATTTTTACCTCTTGATATGCTTTCCATCTATCTAATGAACGTTCTTCTACTTGAACGTACTTCACCCGTAAGTGGATCAAAATTTATGCTAGTGCAATTTTGAAGGTCGACCCATGCAAAAGTAATTTAAATACTACTTCAAACACGAATACGAAGGTTGAATGTGTGTGTGATAAACCCACGTACCAAACTGAAGTTATGTAAAATCACATATCAGGTTGGATGTTAATCGGCCGGAGTACTTCACTTTAATATACAAGGATGGATGATTTTAAACCCACATACCAAACTGAAGTAATAACTAAACAAATACGTTTGCAAAAAAAAAAAAAAAAAAACTAAACAGATACGAATCACATACCTGGCGGGAACGTGCAGCCGATTGAATATGAAAGGGAAGAAGAGAGCGCAGATGGAAGACGGATTCAGCACAGAGACGGAAGGGAAGCAGAGCGCAGATGGATCGGCCTGTTCAATTTTATATATGTGTGACTATACCGGGCCAATTCCCTATTTTTATCTTTTGTCCTGTTTTCTATTTGGTCTAGTTCAGTGTAATCTGATATGGTCTGGTCTAGTTTAAGTTGTTCTGTATTTACATGATTTGGGATGTTTTTACTTGGACTGTAATTTGCTGGTCTGGCCTGGTCTGGTCTGAATTGGCCTATCTTATCTGGTCTGGTTTCTTTGTATTTTTATAACTATCTAAGTCTGGTGTGGTCTGGTCTGAATTGATCTGGTCTGGTCTGGTCTGATCTGCTTCGATCTGGTCTTATCAGCTTCAGTCCAAGTAAAACGGTAACAATTTTCGATAATTTGGAAGGAATATTATTATTTTTAATTATAAATGAATAAAATATAATTGTTTATGGATTATAATATATATAAAAAATAAAATCTTTATGAAAAAAATGTAAAAAATAAAATTTCAGATCAAACCAGACCAGACCAGATCAAACCAGACCAGACCAAACCAGACCAGACCAGACTAAAACAGACCAGACCAGACCGTCAAATTAGACTCCGGTAAAAACATCCTAGCACGCATACCATAGATCTGCTATGTAAGTAAGATGCGCGTTTAAAAGCCCATAAACTTAGGCACTTAGCTCCACTCAGCCCATCGCCACTATCATAACCTCGTCACACTTTCTTTAAATTTCCAAACCCAGACGCCCGTGCATCTCGCCGCTGCCCGAAAAAATTCATTCCAAGCTTCGCTCCTTTCTCTCCTAACACCACCGGAGCCGCTCCATCTTTTCGGTGGTATCTGAGGCCTGAGCAACATGGCTAGTAAAGATTCAAAACGTTCGAGTGCTAGTGAGTGTTCGCAGTTTATTGTTTGTCCAAGGAAGCATTCTTTGTATAACCATTTTGTTGTTTTTATGTGCTCTTTCATCTGTGTCTATCTTTCAGAGGGAAAAAAGGAAGTGAAGAAAGAGACTGGGTTAGGTCTTACTTACAAGAAAGATGAAAACTTTGGAGAGTGGTATTCCGAGGTAAGTGTGGAAGCTAAATCATTTGATTTATCAATTGCGTGTGTTTGTGTTAAAAGAATTGTACTGCATATTCACCACCTGCTCCGTGTGTTGTGATCGGGCTTCTAATATTTCAATTCGAATTTTAAGTACATTCTCTTTTGACAATAATATAGGTGGTTGTTAATGCTGAAATGATCGAGTATTATGACATATCTGGTTGTTACATTGTGCGTCCATGGGCAATGTCAATCTGGGAGATTATGCAAGTATGCTTTTACTCAAGTGTTTCTCTGGTCCTACCTTTTCATGTCTGAAATTGCTGCAAGATACATGAATTAGTTCATTGTAATCTATTTTTTTTAAAATGCAGACCTTTTTTGACGCTGAAATCAAGAAAATGAACATAAAAAACTGCTACTTCCCACTTTTTGTAACTCCGGGTGCTCTACAGAAAGAAAAGGACCACGTAGAAGGTTTTGCACCTGAGGTAAGATCGTTTTTTGAAATGTATGCAACAATATAAGAAGAGTAGTAACTCTGAAAACGTCCTTTCTGTGAACTCTTGATCTGTAGGTTGCTTGGGTTACAAAGTCAGGAGACTCTGACTTGGAAGTCCCTATTGCAATCCGTCCAACAAGTGAAACAATTATGTATCCTTATTTTTCAAAGTGGATTAGAGGGCATCGTGATTTACCTTTGAGACTGAACCAATGGTGCAATGTTGTGCGCTGGGAGTTCAGCCACCCCACTCCTTTTATCAGGTCCTCTCTACACACTTTTTTGTTTGTTGCTAACTTGCTAATGATCAGTTCGGGTGACAGTTTTAGAGGGGTGGGGCGGGGGGAAGGGGTGTTTGCAGAGTTTAATCTATATGTCTTGATGAATGGAATGTCTTTAAAAATGAATGTTGGGGTAACATTGCAGTGAACTTCTTGTCGTAAACCCCCCGGTGATAATCTGTCATGTATTTCCCTCAATTTTAGTGATTTCAAATCATAATTATTATGGTAGGGACGTAGGGTTTTGCGGCGTGGCACACTGGACCGCCATGGTGATACGTTGACATAAGTACAATAATAAATGCATAATATATTTTATATACATCTAACACTTATAGCTCAGACTACTAAGATTAAACCATCATAGTTCAAGGAGTAAAACATGTAATTATAGAAACAACGTAATCCACAAGACCATAACCATATTGGAGTGCAACTTGAATATTAAACCATCATCTTTTTAGTAAAATTTAAAACATGACCATAATTTATAATACCATAACCATATTGGAGTGTAACAGCATAGTCCATAAGACCATAAACATAATCCATGAGGCCATAAGATTAAACCATCATCTATTTAGTAAAAATAAAAAATAATTTACGATTGGAGTGTAACTTGGAATTAGTAAATATAAAATAAAAATAAAATACAGAAAGGTTACCAGTCACTAATACTAATTACTAATAGGAAGAATGGAAAGTAATTTTGTTTAGAAAAAAAAACAATTTTAAAGAAACTGCTGCAGTAGCTAGATGAAAGGTATCGGCAGATGCCCTTGATGAATGACAACATACTGCTAAAGCTGTAAAAGCTGCTAGTCTGATCTAAAAAACATACTGCTGCATTACAACTGTAAAAGAAAAGAACACATGGCTGACCGCGTGTGAAAGGCTGAAAAAATAAAAGAGTTCAGTTGAGATTTGAGAAATCAGGAAGAGGAATATATTGCACATAGTCTGGAATGGCGACTAGTGATGGCGACAAGTGATAGATGCTGACAAACGAGTGCGACAAACGATGGATGCCGATGAGCGAGACGATGGGGATGAGTCTGGACTTTGGCAATGCCCGTTTTGTGCAATTAATAGGCCCAAAACACATGTGCTTGTTGAGACTGCATGGTGAGCAGTTGTGAGAGCCATAAGATTAAACCATCATCTATTTAGTAAAAATAAAAAATAATTTACGATTGGAGTGTAACTTGAAATTAGTAAATATAAAACAAAAATAAAGTACAGAAAGGTTACCAGTCACTAATACTAATTACTAATAAGAAGAATGGAAAGTAATTTTGTTTAGAAAAAAACAATTTTAAAGAAACTGCTGCAGTAGCTAGATGAAAGCTATCGGCAGATGCCCTTGATGAATGACAACATTGCTAAAGCTGCTAGTCTGATCTAAAAAACATACTGCTGCAGTAAAACTGTAAAAGAAAAGAACACATGGGTGACCGCGTGTGAAAGGCTGAAAAAATAAGAGTTCAGTTGAGATTTGAGAAATCAGGAAGAGGAATATATTGCACATAGTCTGGAATGGCGACTAGTGATGGCGACAAGTGATAGATGCTGACAAACGAGTGCGACAAGCGATGTATGCAGATGAGCGAGACGATGGGGACGAGTCTGGACTTTGGCAATGCCCGTTTTGTGCAATTAATAGGCACAAAACACATATGTGCTTGTCGAGACTGCATGGCGAGCAGTTGTGAGAGCTGTGTCGCCAAGGTGATGACATGGTGACACCGTGCCATCTATGTGTTGACCACTTGACCCCAAAACACATATGTGCTTGTCGAGACGCCGTGCATCGTGTTGTGTCTTGCTTTATGACCTCTGGCATCGTGTTGTGTCTATGGTGTTGTTCGGACGCCGTGCCATGTATGTGTTGAGTCTTGCTTTATGGCCTCTGGCATCGTGTTGTGTCTATGGTGTCGTTCGGACGCAGTGCCATCTATATGTTGACCAATTGACCCCAAAACACATATGTGCTTGTCGAGACTGCATGGCGAGCAGTTGTGAGAGCTGCGGTGCCAAGGTGATGACATGGTGACACCATGGTGACTCCGTAAGAACTGTGTTTTAAATATATGTGATGTAGACTTACTCCTCTAACCCCCAATCAATTCTAAGGAACTTATTTTATCTATCCGTTCCCTGCTTGTATCCTCTTTCTCTTTCCCTTACAATATTTTGAATGTGTTTATATTTTATAGAAGCCGTGAATTTCTTTGGCAAGAAGGCCACACTGCCTTTGCAACCAATGAGGAGGCAGATGCTGAGGTAATGTCTTGGTTTTATGAATATATTCTAATACATAATTGTTTTATATTGACTGGTTATTTGTTTTGATACATGTGTGAATGTTTGTGTGGGGGCTGCTATCAGGTTCTTGATATTTTGGAATTGTATAGAAGGATATATGAAGAATTCTTGGCCATTCCAGTCACCAAGGGAAAGAAAAGTGAGCTTGAGAAGTTTGCTGGTGGACTCTATACAACAACTGTTGAGGTTGTGTTCACTATCCATTGCAATGAGACAATTTATGTGGGATATTTTCACATCTTACTTGTTTGGGAAGTGTTGTTCTCTTTGGCGTATTCATCGGTCAGCTTTATTTTCTTGCTTAGGCGTTTATCCCCAACTCTGGACGTGGTATACAAGGTGCCACTTCACATTGTTTGGGACAGAATTTTGCTAAGATGTCAGAGATATTTTTTGAAAATGAGAAGGGAGAAAAAGCTATGGTCTGGCAGAATTCATGGGCATACACTACTAGAACGGTAGAACTAACATTTTATTTCCCAAGTTTACCCTGCTTTATGCTTCTTATTATTAACATGTGTCAAATCCTCACTTTTGTTGGTAAATTTTTGTTGTATAACAGATTGGTGTAATGGTCATGGTTCACGGGGATGATAAGGGACTGGTTTTGCCGCCAAAAGTTGCATCACTCCAAGTAATTGTTATTCCAGTGCCTTACAAGGATGCTGACACACAAGGGATCTTTGATGCATGTTCTTCAACTGTACAAAAGTTGCTGGAATGTGGTATACGCGTGGAAGCAGACATCCGAGATAACTATTCCCCTGGGTGGAAATATTCTCACTGGGAAATGAAAGGTGTTCCTCTTAGAATTGAAATAGGACCCAAAGACCTTGCTAATAAACAGGTAATTTGTCTATTTTACATGGAGTATCTTATAGTGACCAAGGAAATGCTGAAATTGTCATTTTTGTGAAGGTAAGAGTTGTAAGGCGTGACAACGGGGCTAAAATTGATATTCCCATGGAAAGCTTAGCTGGGGATGTGAAAGTCATGCTCGCTGCCATTCAACAAAATCTCTTTGATGTTGCAAAACAAAAGAGAAATGCATGTGTCCAGGTTGCTAACACATGGGATGAATTTGTGAAAGCTCTGAATGACAAGAAGTTAGTCTTGGCTCCTTGGTGTGATGAAAAGGTATTATAACCTGCTTTTCATGTTTTTTGCATTACTTTTGTTGCATTTGAAATTCGAAAGTGTGATAGTTTTATCCCTGGGTGGGCGACTGGGAGTAGTTTGGTGTTGATAGATACTCATATACTGGTTGAGAACTAAAATGTAAATACTTGCTAGCTTTACACTGATAGTTGTTAATGGCGGATAAAACACCGAAGTCTCCTTTAGCATAAAATGAAAGAATTGATTTCAACATCAAGATGTGAGTGCCAATTTGCTGGTCTAATTTTCTTAAGTTTTAGCATAAAATGGCAGAATTGACAAGAGGCTGAGTTTCCGCCTTTTTGCTCTCTAAAAGTCTCAGTTTGGAATATAGCTTCATCAACATCTTCATTAAGTATGCAAGGCAGGTGGGATGGAAATAGAGTTTAAAAAATAATATAGGATAGTATTGAATAATTCCACTGGTTATCCTTCCTCTAAACCTTCTTGTGAATGAACAATGAGAAGCCATCATTAGAGCATTCTACTTTATGGAAAATGTATTGAGATGATGGTGAGTTGAGATAGTTGTTGTAGTCACTCTCTATTACTAGATCAATATTATAAAGTTGCACGTTCATCATGGAATATGGCTAAAAATGTAATACGCCATACTGAGAATATTTCATTAGAAAGTTTAGTGTATTAAAAAATAACCCGTGTGCTGTAATTTGACTGGGGAATGAGGAATCTCATCACAAAAACCTGAGAATTTTTTTTGAAGTTGTTTCATTTTGTATCTTCCCCTCCATCATCTTAAGTGTTAACATTTTAAATCTTTCTCTATCATGCTTAAAGTTGAATCAGTTTCCCTGCTGTATCTTTGTTTTTCCATACTTGTGAATTTCTTAGCTTGTAGCACCAAGAGGTATTCATGTGAAGGAGTGATCTTGATAATCTTTTTCCCTCATCTTTTTGTTTCCTAGTTTTTTTTTCCTTATATATATAAGCAATATTTGCAGCCTTTTTATTTTATCATTTATATATATATTCATCTTTTTTTTTATATTATCTTTTCATAATAGCTTATCTTTTTATCTTTATTCCTTCTTTTCCTTTTGGTTGTGATATCATGTATCGATTCATGTTAGCCGACCCCAATATCTTTTGGGACTAAGGCTCGGATGTTGTTGTTGTAGCACCAAGAGGTGGTAGAGGAAAGAGCTAGTTTAGTCTGTTCAGGTCGCAGGGAAAAAGTTCTAATGAAAATCTCATGTGCTTGGGGTTGAGAGATACTTAGATACTGCTTCATATCTATAATTCAAATAATTGCTAGCCTTTTACACTGATGGTTGTTACCAGCAGATGAAACACCAAAGTGCTCTTTTTGCATAAAATGAAAGAATAGATTTTCAAAATCAAGATGTGAGTGCCAATTTGCTGGTCCAATTTCCTTATGTTTTAGCATGAAATAGTAGAATTGATAAATGGCATGAGTTGCCAACTTTCTTACCCTCTTAAGTGCTGGTAAAAGATTAGATAAGTAGAACTTTGCTATAAAATGTCCGGGATGTACTTCGTACCATCCTCTGCATAGTTTTAAAAAAAGTTGTTTGTAACATAATAGTAGAAATCAAAGATAACACAAACACATACCTAAAAACATCAAGATTTTTAAAATGTGTGCCCTCAACTCAACTGCACAAGTTTCACTATATAATTGAAGATAGTACCAGATGACCAATATAGTACTCAAACTAATGCTCCATAGTAGAAAAAGGAAGTGAATAGTGCACATTTCCTGCTCTACTCACTGCATACTTTCCACTTCCATGGTGCAAATGAAGTATGCAGGGCACTTTGTCTTGAGTGATTTTAACTGGCTTGATGACACTGTCTTGGTACTGCTTCCTTTTTAATTTTGGTGCTTGTATTGGTGAGTCACCAATCCTTGCTATGTGTATTGGGTTTTTTCACTTTCTGATACCATTGCATAAATATGTGTTGGAGGAGTCTCTATTTGAATGAACAGTGTGACTTATTGTGAGCGACAAAATCTGGTCTTGTGTTGCCCTTTATGGTTTTAAAATATTTCAAAATTTTACGCTTCAAGTTTTATTCAATAGATGTGGTTTTTTTCTTTTCTTGTTCTATTACATGTCAAGAACTTGCCCAAAATTTCTGTATTCTCTTGCTAGCTCATACTTGTTCTCCAAAATGAGAAAAAGAAGAAAACAATATAGGAGCATCGTTTAAAATTGTGCACGCCATAAGGCGCACCTCGTGATTTCCGAGAACTTTACATAGATAGCATATCCCAAAATAGGCAACACTGAAAGTTGGGCTCTTTGATCTAAAGCGTACGCCAATTATGTGGGCAATATGCCTAGTTCTGAAGCGTACGCCATAGGCTGGACCTGGTATAATAAAGATGGACCGACTTTCTGGTATAATAGGAGTACATAACAATTGAAACTAACTAAAACTCTTTGTTCGGAATATAACTTTATCAACTTCATCACCAACTATGTAAGGTAGTGGGATGGAATCATGGGAATATAGTTTAAAAATTAATTTAGGACAGTAAATGCATTCAGTACAGGAGGCATATTGAAAATTTTCACTGATTATCTTTAATCTAAACCTTCTTATGAATGAATAATGAGAAGTCATCATTATAGCATTCTAGTGTATGGAAAATGCAATGAGATGGTGGTGAGTAGAGACTGATACTATAATCGCTTTCTATTCCTATATCGATATTATAAAACTGACATGTTCATCATGGAATATGGCCAACTGTAATACTCCGCATGTTGAAAGTTAAGTGAATTAAAAAATAATCCGCATGTTGTATTTTGACTGGGGAACAGGGAAGCTCATCACAAAAATCTGAGAAAATTCTTTCAAGTTCTTTCATTTTGTATCTCTCCATCGCTCCTTCCCCTTCCCTCCGTCATCTTAGGTGCAACTACCTCCGTCCCACTAACATTGGGACAAGCGGGGGTGGCACGGTTATTAAGAAAAGTGAGTTTATGTGGTTGATATTGAATTGATAGGGTAAGAATATAGTAGAAATGATTTAGAGCCACACAAACTTTACCAAATTTGGTATAGGACAATCTTAGTAGGATTTCCTGAAAAGGAAAATTGGGACAATCTTAACAATCTTAGCAGGACGGAGTGAGTATCATTTTCTATCTATCTCTATCATGTTTAAAGTTGAATCAGTTTCCCTTCTGTGCCTTTGTTTTCCATACTTGTAAATTTCTTAGCTTGTATCACAAGAGGTGGTGGTAGAGGAAAGGCCAGTTTGGTCAGTTCAGGTCTCAGAGAGAAGGTTCTAATGAGAATCTCATGTGATTGGCCACAGATTCTCTAATTTATCAATTTCATTGTGATTTCTTGTCCCCCCATAGGATGTTGAGAAAGATGTGAAGGCACGGACGAAAGGAGAGATGGGTGCAGCAAAGACACTCTGTTGTCCATTTGAACAGCCTGAGCTTCCAGAAGGTACTGTGCTCAAATAATTGATGCATTAAGTGAGGCTTTTCTTATGATGCGTTTGGTGTTTTCTACAAAAATAAAATTGGAGAAAACCATATCAACAGAAATGTATAGTGTAATTATTTTCTTGGTAAAACTGAAAATTGTTTTGTGAAATTTTGCAAAGTTGGGATTAAAATCCCATGAAGCATTATCATAGACAGGTATATGGGTATCCTATGAATGCCTAGTAGACACCTAGATATCATTCAATGTTTGGCAACAAGCCATGGCTATGTTCTTCAGTGCCTGGTTGCCTAACTGTTGCATAGTCGACACCTAAACATCACAAGTGCCAGCCATGGTAACTTAGTCCTGTTTTAAGAAGGATCGTACCATGTTATTAACCTGTTGTAGCTCTAAGACATATTTGGCGATGCCCAAATATCTTAAATATTAAGCCGTCGGCCAGAACCCTATGCCCTTCAGCCCGTCAAGTCGTCAACCAGGTTGCCATATTAATAATATGATTGAGCAACATTTTAATTCTCACTTGCAATCTTGATTAAATCGGCTGCATGAATTTGAATAGGGATGGAATGAATTACTATAGGCCCACAGCTAGATTAGTTAACCTGGTTTTAGATTAGGTTTTTCTCATTTAAAACACTAGAACTAGAATATCGTTCTGCAGAGGAATGAATTCATTTTGCCCAGGCATCAAGAACTTGTAGGTACAATTTTTATACAGTTGTTGATTTCTTTTGTTTGTAGGAACATTGTGCTTCGCCTCGGGAAAACCTGCCAAGATATGGTCATACTGGGGCCGGAGTTATTGATATGATGGTGCTGCATAAATTAATTTATACACATATTAGTATCTCCCTAACTAGGAGGATCCATATACTTTCTGATGATTTATTTGTCCTAATCTGTTATTTCGGACTTGATTACTGTTTAGAAAAATACTGTTAGGAAAAAATCAGCTGTAAATAGGGGTGTACTGAACCGGGCCAAACCGGCCCGTGAACCAGACTGGCCCGCTACTGTACGGGCCCAGACCGGACCAGGACCGGATGGCCGGTTCCGGGCTTTAGCCTGGGTTGGATGGGCCTGGTGGGCTGGGCTCGGGCCCTGTTTTTCTTGAACTGGCCCAGGTGCCGGATGGTCCGGTCTGAGCCCGGTTCATTTTTTGTTTTTTCAATTTTTTTTTCTTTTCCTTGGGTAGGGCTGGCTGTTTTGGGGAGGTTTAGGGCTGGGGGCTGGGGCCCTGGGGGGTCGGGGGTTAATTAGAAAGCAAAAAAAATTATACATTGGCTGGGCCGGGCCTCAGTTCTATTTTTTTTTTTTGGCTTTTCCTAGTTAACCCCCAACCCTCCCCCTCACCCCCAAACCAACCCTAACCACCTCAAATAAATAAATAAATTAGCTCGGCCCGAACCGGTCGGGCCGGTTCACCTTTTGAAGGGTCCGAGCTTGAACCGCAATCCCACCGGGCTGGGTGGCCTGAACCGGGCAACCAACCGGTTCAACAGGCCGGTCTGGGCCCGCACAGTATCAGGCCGGTCCGGTTCCGGGCCGGTTGGCCTGGCCCGAGTCCACTCTTAAAATTGTGCATCACTTGTAGGTTTGATGCATTGAATTCGACTTATAAACAATGTCTTGAAAGGTGTTGGGTGCTAGTTGGGTATTAGCTTAAGTACATTGGTGCCTTTGCGGACCCATGTAATGTAAATTAGAATGCAATTTAGATTCTTGCATCTTATCAACTATACTTCTATAGGTGTTACTCTTGTTTTTTGGCTAATGATCTCGTTTCTCTTGCGATCTTTTCTGGTATGTTCACTTATCAAACACAACATACTCATTTCTGCCACACTAATATTTTGAATTGGAAATAATGTTTAACATAAATACAAGATTTTTTTAATAAAAGTTAAAAATGCACACAATTTATAATTAACATCTTCAAAATAATAATTTTTTAAAACAAAATAGATATTAAATCATATATGACTATGATCATCATTTTTAAAAATATAAGGTTGAACTAATAACTATGATCATAATTTTCCAAAAAAAGAATGTCAGAAAATATTCCAAAAATTCTGAATTTTAGAAGGCTAAAATAATAAAAAAGGAGCACTTAGGGAGTGTTTGCAAATGTTTTTGCTTAAAAAAGCATTTTTTGAAGTGATTTTTGAAAAAGTGATTAATAGTTAAAGTTAGGGATGGACTCGGGTCCGGGTCGGGCCTAGGTCTGGGCGGGCCGGCGGTTCAGAATTGGTGGACCCGGGACCGGCTCTGGTAACCACCGGGTCCGGTCCGGGTCGGGCTGGACCCATTATCAATTTTTTTTTCCTCTTCCTAATTAACCCCCCTCCGTCCCCAACCCCCCAAACCACCCCAAATGGCCCAAAATACCCATCCCAACCCGAAAATTTAAAAAAAATTGAAAAAAAAATAGATTTGGCCCGAACCGGCCCCAGGTTCGGCCGGGTCGGGCCTTGTTTTGGGTGACCTGAGCTCGGACCGGAAAACCCACGGGCTGGGCCTACCCGGACCGGTCACTGACCGAGCCACTGGGCCGGTTCCTTCGGGCCACCCGGCCCGAGTCCATCCCTAGTTAAAGTTGATGGTGTTTGAGAACAAAGTGATTTTGAAAAGTAAACGTTGATAGTGTTTGGTAAAATTAGTGTTTTTTGTGTAATAGGAAAAGTAAAAACCACTTTTCACCCAAAGTCGAAAAGTGTTTTTTCAAGTAGAAGTTGTCACTTAAAAACAATGTTCTAAAAAGCGTAAGGAGTGTTGACTTTCGAGGCGGCACGACCAAGTCTCGAGCCTTTGAAGCATAGGCAAGTTTAGGCGGGATGTAGACATGAAAAGACATCACAATTTTAATTTTTCTACCACCATTATTAAAAAATTAAATTTAGTATGACATAATTTCATGGACACCATTAGTTTCTCAGTATAAAAGAAGATTTCTAATGGTATAAGAATACTATTTTTAATTGAACAAACACTCCCTTGGTTTAGAATGGCCAGATGATGAAAAATAAAAAGATCCAATCAAATTGGCATGCAAACGATGGCCAAGAGCACCCAGGCAAGAAATCTTTTTCCAGTTACAAATAATGTTTTATAGAAACATGATATTTGTAACCATGAGTTTTAGTTGCGCGAGGAGGGGGCGGTTTTGAAGACAACACTAGAGTAATATGCAACTATAGGCAAGCCTTCAAGATAGATCGAGTTGGAGGAGGGGGGCAGGGGCGGTTTTAAATAACCATGAATTTAAGCTTACTGATCATGAAGCTAATAAGTGTATATTATCCAAGAGGGTGATATATATGTGGAACAGAGAGTATATATAGTGTGACTTGACATGAATCTGTAACCAAAAGTTCAAAACATTCATAGGTTAAACAATTAAACAACTAAGGTTCTTTGAAAATGTTTTGGAAACAAAAATTTGTTTTGATGTAGCATTTTGAGAGAACTAGCTACTAAACGGACCCTAAAATAGAAACAAAATGATCTACTCGCACAAGTATTATTGCATTACACATTTAACATCAAGTATTTTCACAGAATGAAACTTGTCAGGTGCAGCTGCTAGCTAGATGGATAGCACAACAAAAAGAAACCTTATTAATTATACAGGTGTGAATGTATAAGTAACTCCATGCATGGATCAGGGTGGAGAAGAGCCGCCGTGCGCCGCCGCATCATGCATAATTATCAGCCCAATTAGAGGCGCTGCCGGTGCGTGGAATGCTGGGGAGGCGGGTGTAGAAGTCCACCTGGAAGATGACGGCGTTGACCTCACCACCTGCTCCCTCCTGCCGCACCATCCCTCTCACTTTGTGCATCGGATGATCAAAGCTCTGCAGCCCCCCACTCCCGCTCATAAATATACACCCTGCCCCGATAATGCATAAAATCCGCAGATTACAATTCAATTATCATGAAGTGGGATGGAGGAAGTATATCATTCTCACAAAATAAAGACTACTTGGTATATCAATTAAAATATTTCAATCACTTCCGTCTCAATTATATTCATAGCTTTTAACTTGGGATGTTTTTACCTAGACCGTTTTCAGTCCCAAACTTTAATAGACCAAACTTGGATAGTTATAAAATACACAAAGACCACATATTTATCAGACCATATCAGACTTGAACAGACCAAGATCAGAAAATGTGAGTGCAATAAAAACATCCTTACTAGTTATGTTCTTCAATTCATTGGTTTGAAAACATAAATAAACTACATATTTAAGACAAGTAGGAAGTAATTGCAACACTAGCTAGCTAAATAGCTACCTGGAGGAAAGGGGGTGTAACAGTGACCACCGCAAACGGCATTGATAAACTCTGCATCATCACTGCACACTAATGACTCATCCGCACCCACTCCCCAGTGAAGTGGCACACTTCCTTCCCGGTCCTACACATCCATTGAGGCCGGCAGAATCAGATCGATCATATAGTAATTCACATTATAATTCAAAGGAAAGATAAAATAAATGTAGGCATGTAGTTTGTACCCGGGCTAGAAAAAGAGTAGAGGTTTTGTAGTCAAAGAGGATGAAGGCGAATTTGCCGTCAAGGCCCTTGATGACTTGATCTGGAGGGTAGGGTGCCCTGTCTCTTAGGACCTTGTAAGCCTCCACCATTATGCTTCCCTCTGTGGCTTGTCTTGACAGCCCATAGTATTTCCTCAGGTCACATGTGTTGTCCAGCACCCCACAAAATATGCAGAATATATCCTCCATCACCACAATCGATCTACCATCATTCATCATCATCATCATTTATATTAATCACATATCATTTTCATTTTCATTTATCTCAGTGCTGCAAAGGCTCCCACCTACGGTGAGGTAAGGGGGGTCGGATATACACAGTCTTACCCATGTACTAAAGCACAGAGAAACGGTTTCCGAATGACCCATAGTGAAAAGTGCGTCCAAAATTGCATGGACTGACTGCTGTTTCATAACAAAGAAGAGTAGACAGTTTAGTGAGCATTTTGCTTTATTGCATCATAACCTCAATATGAAGCCAAAGATTCATTATTTTTTGGCTTGAGATTATGATGGAATAAAGCAAATTGACTCACTATACTATATGCGCTTCTTTGTTATGAAGCAGCAGTCAGGATTTTCACTATGGGTCATCCGGAAACAGTCTCTCTGTGCTTTAGTACAGGGGTAAGACTGCGTACATCCGACCACCCTTACCCCACCGTAGGTGGGAGCCTTTGCGGCACTGGGGTAAATGAAAATGATGAAATGATGAATGATGAGAAGAGTTAGAGAAGATGCAGATTCATCATTGCTGCTTCAAAAACAATTTAAGGATTTTCATAGGATTTATTTTACTTGAAAAATGAAATATACGAATGAGCTTTGTTTTGGATCGGAGGAAGAACAAGGTTATATGAATCACCGGTAAGAACGAGTCACGGAAGCCAAGGTTGATAGGGATTGGTCAACCTGGAAAAAATGAATGCTACCTCATTGACCTCTACCTCTACCTCAGCGTGGTAACTGGCTAGAAAGCCAAATTGAGTGTTTTTTATACTTCAAGGATTCAATTGGGTGATTTTATAGTACGAGGACTTAATTGACGTTTTTGATATAGTACATGAGCCTATTTGATAATTTTCCCTACCTTATATCATGCAAGAAACCCATTCAGAATACATACTGTATGTCTAAAAAACTTTTTACAAATGAATGTACGTATAGTAACATCCGGTAAAGTTCTTTTGGAGACGGGCATTATACGAAAGGGGAAAATCAAATTAGTTGTAGTCACGTAGAATGACAAATACTACCTCCATCCTATTAGAAGGTTCCCGTTAAATAAAGTAATTTGAGTAAAAAAGACAGGAAAGAGAAAGTTTTAAAAAGTAATATGCAATGAGTATGAAAGATAAATTTGAGTTAATGTGTAGTTAAAGAGAGTAAATTATTTCTTAAAATATACTACCTCCGTTCCTATTATAAGTTCCAAATAGGTTTGGCACACAATTTAAGATAGTGGGTATTGTGTGGTGGAGAGTTGTGCAGAGGGGAGAGAAATGTGTAAGAAATGTTGTGAACCACAAATTCTTTACCAAAAAAGGAAAGTGGAAGTTTTAATTGGAACGGACGAAAGAGAAAAGTTGGAAGTTATAATAGGAACGGAGGGAGTAATAAGAACCTTTAAATGAGACACCCAAATAAGAAAAGTGGAAATCTTTCAATAGAACGGAGAGAGTAAATTTCTAAATTAGGACTGCTTACATTTTATTCTCACTTATTGTTACTAAGCAAAAGAATAAGACTTTCCAAAGTACTCCCTCCATAAAAAACTAAAAAAAGAAATACTCCCTCCACATTTAAAAGTTTGTTACCCTTTTCTATTTGTAATGTATTCTTACTCTTACTTTTCCTTCTACTTTTTTTTTGATATTTTTTACCCCATGGGGTCAGGAGGGGCTGGGATGCCTTGGTAAACTGGAATCAAACTTACTCCGTTGAGAATTGAACTCAGGACCTCCCACAAGATCCCACAAGAAAGAATGAGTCGGCGACCGGCTATTTTTTCACCATCTCTCCTGTTTCTGCACTATTCATTATCTCTACTATTTCCTATTTATATTGTGTCAAGATATAATACAGTGATACTTGATATGGTAAATAATGTAGTGATATTTTAAATAGAGGAGAACATTAATATGTTTGTCAATGAATTTTTATTTAGTACCGAAATGTAATGAATTTTTATTTAGTACCGAAATGTATAGTACTCGGTACAATACTCGACAAAAAGGCTGCTAGCAACGAATTTTCTTGCAAAGTAGTACTCCACCGTATGGTAATGCACTTTGGACTTTGCAGAGCAGGTTTAGTACAAGAGAAATGCTAGAAGTACAAACACACTTACAAAAAAACTTACAAATAAGTGATGTGGCTATTCTAATTACCATTGATTTAAAAATGTTATAAATGTGATGTGTTAAATAATGTGATGATGCCACATACCCCTTTTGTAAGATTTTTTGTAAAAGTTTTTGTACCTCTAGCATAACTCTTAGTACAATATTTGAGGAGAAAGTATAAAGTTTGGTTGGTCCAAAAGTTTGAATGCCCAACCCCAAGGCCCCCACCTCGACTCGACAGGATGGTGGGGAGGTTAATCACGGTGACTCAGTCAGCAAAGCGCCGGTAGGCCTTATACACGTGCGCACAAGAGATCCAACCTTATTTCAGGTTCTCTGACCTACACATGACCGTTGCGGGTTTCGAACCTTGGTCGTTTGATCCAATTTTCTCACCACTCGACCAGCTGAGAAAGTATAAAGTAATTTCATACTAGTAGTAGTACTTTTGAACATAAAACTTTCAAAAATAGAAAGTATAGCAAAAACTAAAATACATTTCAAAAAGAGAAATGTAGAGAACATTTAAATTTCAATACAAAAGCTTAATTTTTATAAAAGTAAAATAATTGGGTGCGAAATGAATGAGAGGATTATGTTCACACAGGGAAAATGAATTAGCCGTGAACAAAATTGGCAAAAGAAAAGTACCTCGGGAATAAAGGATTTTCATCACCTCCACGTGCGAGTCCGAGGAAATTAGCATTAGCGAGGTTGTAGAGCGTGGTGTCCGCCGGTCTCCGTGATCGGAAGCTCGCTGCGATCTCTTCCCTGGACTTGCATCCGCTCAGCCCTGTACGGGGGCGACGGCTGAGCTCGGGCGGTGGCTTGGCGATGGACTGCTCAAAAACAGCCAACATCTGATCTGGCCGCCCTTTGCAAACTTCAAGTAATTAAACTACTCCGTAATTTATAAGCTCGCGAGCTAAGAACCTAGATCATTATCATTATCATTATCATTATCATTATCATTATCATTATCATTATTATTATTATTATTATTATTATTATTATTATTATTATTATCACAAGCTAGCTAGGTATAAAAAATACACAAATTAAAGTTAGTGATCTGAGGGGCTGAGTAAATAAAAAGGACAGGTGGGATGGAGATTAGAGGGAGAGAAATTGAAAAGTGAGGTAGGTGTCAAATTTGCGGCATGCAAGTTGAGGTGGTGATGTTACGTGTTCGTTCGGATGGATTGGGTACGACAAAACTCATTTTCTTTCTTTCTTTACATCGTCAAACCCGCATCCCTCGTTACTTGAATGAGATCAAACCAGGGGCGAAGCAAGTATATATCAGATGGACCAGAAATATATTGCTCGATTTTACGTCAAATCAAATCAGAAAATTTAAAGTCAAATAAAAACATTCTTACTCTTAAGTTTGATAGCATCTCCGTCACAGCGGAATTGCGTGACTAGGATCTCGAAGATGACAAAACTCGATCATTTTGTTTCCTTCTCCACGCCTTCACGCTTTCTTTACATCAAACCCTCGACCGTTACTTGAATGAGATCATAACAGGGGCGAAGCAAGTATATATATATATATATATATATATATATATATATATATATATATATATATATATATATATATATATATATATATATATATATATATATATATATATATATATATATATATATATATATATATATATATATATAAGATGGAGATGGACCACAAATAAACTAGATGATCATGTCAGATTTCTGTTGAGAGGCAATCAGATTGACTCAACCGCTAATAGCTTCAAAGTTCTTACATTTTCAGCAATAAGTCTCACTCTTTTTAGGGTAAACTACTCTATGTCTGATAAAGAAGTGGCGGGTGGGCTTATGGTTATGTTTGGTTAGGGGGAAGTTAGTTGTAATGTTTACTTTATTGTTTCGTAATTCTCCTGATTGTACTCTGTTGGGTGTGTTTCGGAAAAACGAAGAAATATTAATTAAATAAAATTAATTAATAAATAAAATAGCTAAACGAAAACAGAAAATAAGATGGAGCAGATTTTAGCCAGAGCTCGTGCTACGCACGATGTCCTTAAAACGTATTCGTCGCCTCCCACGGTGCTAGGAGCGTTGCAACGACCGTTTCCCAGGATACGGTGGCTAACGAACGATCGTTTGAGCACACAAACGAAAGTCCCGGCGAACTGGAACAATAGCAGAACACTTAGGAAATTTCGGAGTAGCTGGAAGTGTTTTTAGCTCAAGAAAACGTGAGAAATGTATTGTGTATTGTGTCTTGTTGCAAACCATCTGCCAGCTATTTATAGGAGGATTTGTTGTGTGTAAAATGAGGTGTTAATGGACCTGAACTTTGGACATCAATGACCAGTCTGTTGGGCATTGAATAGTCCATAAACTGTCCATTTAACGCAGCATTAAAAGATAAGAACGTTGGGCATTAACTTTCGTAACGGTAGAATTGCGCGACAGAAGACCCCTAACAGAACACCCCTTCGAGGAGTTCTGCCCGAAGCCAACAGAACACCCCTTCGAGGGTTCTGTCCGGCCAACAGAACACCCCTTTGAGGGGTTCTGTCCGAAGCCAACAGAACACCCCTTCGAGGGGTTCTGCCCGACGCCACCAGAACACCATACCGAGGTGTTCTGGTCGAGGCCTTCTATCCGGAGCACTTCTGGGAAAAAATAAACGTTTTGGGAAGAAGAAAAATTAACCGTATCTCTTGAGAGATAGGTTTTTGGACGGCATTCGTGTCCGCAGGTCGCCCGCGCACACGAGTCGCAGTTTTTCTTCTCCGTTTCGGGATTTGATCGGCACCCCCCTGCGCGTAAAAGAGAGCCTTTACCTTTAGGAATCTTAACTCCTTAAAAGAGACTTCCCTTTATAAGAGGGTGAAAATCCATTGAGTTTTCCGATGTGGGATAAAACACATTAGAAACCCATCATTTTCCCAGTTTTTCAATTTCAACGAGTGAACTTCGAAAATCAATTTCTCATTCACCCGTTATCCGTTTTGAGTGTACCACATATCGAATTGTAGCCCTTAACAAGGACAATCCGAAACCACTTTGACCCGATCCAAATCGGAAGTGGACCACACTCAAATAATTGCTCCAAAATCACCATTTAATGCAATTTAATAAATAGATAATGCATCCCGTGCAAGAAACGGGTGAAAATCTAGTACTAAGGGACAAGAATAGCTTTAATGATAAAACCATTTTTGGATAATATCAAATAAAATAATAAAATCAAACTTCACATATGACAGAGACAAACAACATACGATGGCGCAGCTGTCTGGTAATAAACCGCCGCCATCTTCGCTACCATGACTAGCGCCAATGGTTTTGTGCGGTGCTACCTGCTGCCTCATCCGAAATCACCACCACTTTATCTAGAACCACATTATTGCCATGACTGACACCGATTATTTATCACTCTTCAAATTTAAAAAAGCATTCAACATCCAAAACTTAAATTCCAAATCCACCACTAGTAGGAAGTAGGATAGGACGTGACTTTAATTTTCTGATCAGATGCAATAGTATATCATTATTGCTATTAAAGTTTATATAATTGAATTATTTACCGTCCATCCTTATTTCAAATTTGATGAATATTGTCCATGCTCATGGCAGATGGCTATCTCAATTGGGCAAAACTGTGTTGGAATTCAAAACTATCTCAATGAACATTTACCATTGATTTATTGTGGTTATTAATAGGATTGAATTTGACAGCATGAATGAAACTGAGGGAGAGAACCAACAGATTTATGAACACGACTTCTCCACTCCCCCAAAAATAATACCATCCTTTTGGAGATGATTAAACACAGACCAGAATAGCTATGTCGTGCTGCCGGTGAAGTATTCAATTTAGAACCATGAGATTAATCAATTGAGTGTGGTGAATTCTGTTTATTTTGCTAGGATGGGGGCACCACAAGCATCTCGGGCATGTTTTCCCTCTTCAAAAACAAGGTTTCCTCTTACGAATGTAGCCAAAACCTTCCCTGAGAGTCTTGATCCCAAATATGCAGATATACTCTGCACAGTATAAACAAGTGTCATCACGACATTGGTCCTTGTTTGGCAGCACTCTTGCTGTGGCACATACGTTTTGAGCACATACTGAATTTCACCCTCGCCAAATGGGCACAAAAAGGTCAGGAAATGTGAAATGTAAGAAAATCAAGTAAAGGGATGAGGAAAGACATACAGGGTGCTTGAGGTGGATAGGATGACTATCGTCCAGTTCAAACTCGGCTTCTGGTTGCCAGATTACAATATCAGCATCATTCCCACTCACAAATGAGCCCTGCACACAAACACCCAAGGATTGGTGTGTATCTACCTTTAACAAACTAAGCAAGTCCAATACGAAGATGATAATACAGGCTCAACTTCCCAAATGGATATGGAAATGTATATGAAGCAAGACGTTGTATAACTTTGACCCAGGCGTTCAGCGTTCTAAATCGAACTAAGCGCTAGCCTTCAGCAGGCTAAGGCCTGCACCTTAGGCTACAGCCCACCTTGCATGGGTGGCTACATGGGCTTCTGACCAAGTGACCAAGGCCCCAAAATCTTGGGCAAAAAATGTCTAGAGATTATTCGTTGTAATCAGCCTAATTGTAATCTCTTCGTAATCCATGGACCAATGACAACGTAACAATACTAATGTGGCCTTCTGGAGTGACTAGTCATTTTTTATTTTTACCATGCAGTTAGTATTGTTGTATTTCCGGAGTGACTATAGTCATTTTTGTCCATACTTTTATTTGAGTAATATTATATGGAATATTCCTACTACAAGTAGTAAAAACTATAAGGACAACAACAACAACAACAACAACAACAACAACAATAAATAGGCGGCAGACTGGCAGAGGAGCCTACCATTGGGGCAGGGGTTCAGCCAGATTTCAGCAGGGATGATTACCTTTAAATTAAGGTTTGCAAGCTTAGCGGGCTTCTCACTCCACATTGAAACCATCTGTTCTAATGTAATTCCATATTTCTTCCCATATGTCCATGTTACGGGGAGAACAAACTGCACATTCACTTAAAAAACACCAGGTTGCCACCTTTAAAATGCAACCACCACAAAGCACCTCCAAACTAATTATATAGCTAATTAGAGAACAATGAAGACCTGCAAAGAGGATATGCCACCCCATGCTTTCAAGAAATTTCCCTCACTTAAGAGCTTAAGATCTGGCTCTGAAGGAGAATGGTCTGAGCTTAACATGTCTATGCTTCCATCCTGAAACACATGCATGAAGCCTCAAGTAAGAACTCCTGAAAATATTTTGGAGGCTATGCATGGATGGAGGGAACTATTATGGAGGGCTTAGTTTATATCTTGATACACACACACACACACACACACACACACACACTTTGGATCTTATAGAAATTGAAATTAAACATATATACTCCTAATATGATCTTGTAACATTTTCATCACATTTCTTTCACTTTCACAAACATTCTATTTATCAAAATATATAAACTAAGCCCTCCACAACAATCCCCTCCAAAAACCCTCCATCCAAACAGACCCTAAGGAAACAATAAGATCAGCTTGTGATTCTTCATATTATGATAAGAGTAAGAAATAACCAATAGAGAAGCCCATAATTGATCTCTGTTAGCTGAATCACGGATAGGTGGAGCGCACTTGAAACGTGTATCGCCATCAGGGATCTCTTCGGCTGCAAAAGCTAGATAATGTGGGCATGTTTCAACAGTCACACTATCTCCATTCTTTTTTGCTTCCTGTAGGATGAAATAATTATAAGTACTACATATTAACCTAAATTCTAACATTTGAAAGAAAAAGAAAAGATAAACAACACCTAATGAAATTTAATAATAACATAGTGCAGGTATGAATGAAGGTATTGGTCACAAAGGGAGCAAATTAATACAATGGCTGATTAGCTTCATTATACAAATGGATTACGGGCATGTCTGGCAAACGGCTTTTTGGAGAGGTTTGACCATCTGAAAAGGCTACTTGCTGTTCAGTAAACAAGAAACTATGCATGTCCTGGCTGATTACAGCTAAACAACTATAGGTCTATGTTCTAAAATCCCCACCTTGACACTAAACTCCCTTTGGGCTGCTTCCCTATGTTCTCTCAAATTCACCCCATCTAATCTTTCTACGCACCGCCTGATCCCACCTTGGCGCTAGTCTTATTAAGGTCCAAAAGAAAGACAAAAGATGTAAAAAAGGACTTTGGATACCTTAATCAACTCTAAAGAAGCCCTTGCATCAGATAGATGAACAATATGAAGATGAGCACCCTCGGCAGAGCCACCTGGCCGAGTGTCTTTTGTTACAGTTAAGAGCTCTCTGATCGCTGCTTCTTCCCTATAGATAATGATCAGATAAAAGATGGTAAATACCTTTTTTTTTAGTTAGATTTTGAGAAGAGTCAAGCACTTGAACCCGCTTGGATCACATCTAGACCAATAGAACCCGGCCGACGGGCAATGACACGAAATGCACGTCATAGAGGAAAAATATGGGTACATATATTTCCCAATAAACTAGTTACTGTACGACCCGCAGAAACACGTTTGGGTTCAGGAAAAGGATCCCCTGAATATTGGGTTGCTGTTGTTAAACTGGGTCAGATCCTTTATGAAATGGGTGGAGTAACAAAAAATATTGCCAGAAAAGCTATTTCAACACAGTACCACCCACAAGAATGGTTCTTTTACAGCAACAACAATTCTTACGGCAAGATATGTAGAATAGCTATTTCAACACAGCACCACCCACAAGAATCTTACCATGATGCAGGCCTTGTCTTAAGATATGTAGAGTAAGATCTAGCATCATCTGTAGCATCATCTTTCAAGTCATATTCATTGTCAAGCTCTTCTTGCAATTCTGCATGAACAAGTAAGGGTCTTTTGTACTTTGCCAGCACAGCCAGTCCTTCCTACATTAATTGGAAAAGTCAATCACTTTAAGGGTATGTTTGGGAGTTAGAATTTGGAGGTGTTATAGTTATATTTTTAAATAAGAGAACTATATATGGTTTATATTTATAAATATATGAATAAAAAAAGTGAGGTATTACCGTAATACTAATTTATCACTTATATATTTCATTTTGAAAATTTAATAAGGTAAAGTAATTTCTATTAAAAAGAAGAAACCCCATATAAAACTCAACTTACAAACATAACCTACAGAACTGTACTGCCAAAAACTCACTATGACAAGCTAAATACACATAAAGATAATTTGACGGGTTAAGTGCCATTTAAAATAAGGAGTAAAATAAGGAGATACATCTTTGGGTTAGAAGATCATATCCCGGTGCAATCAGAGTATATGAGAATAGAAAATGTTGTAGTAGGAGGGGAGTATATTCTACAAACCTTAATATGAGATGAATTTGTCATCGGAAAGTCATTGATGCCTGAAGGGCACATGAAGGACTGCAACAGCAATAACAAAAATTATACAAATTAAGTGCATGACAGTATATGTTAAATAATAGTTTCAACTAGTTGGTCAAAATATCATGATTGAATTAGTTGTCTAAAACTAGCTATTAGTAAAAACTCCTGCAGGAAAAAAATACACTTTTTATGTAGCTACCTTCAAGCCAAGGGCTCCCGCTTTCAGCAGAATCTGCAAAGCACTTGCATTGAATGCATTTTCTGGAACTAAACCTCCCCAGAAACCTGTTCAGTACTTAAATAAGTAGTTAAAGAAATAAATAATAACAGTACTACAATGTATGATGAAGTAATATGACCAAAGTCATACCGACATCAACATAGATTCTCCCTCCGGTGGCCTCAATCTGTCATCCAAACATATTCTGTTAGTGAAATCAATGTTGTCAAAAGCGCTAGGCCGCAAAGTAGGCCACTAGGGCCTAATGCTTGGTTGGAGGGGCCAGAAATAGGCACCCACCTGAGAGCATCATGACTTGGGGGGGGGGGGGGGGGGGGGGGGTAAAACAATGAAAGAATTACGAAATCAAGACAGAAATGACCCTAAAACTGCTGCCCCTTTATTTATCAAAGATCAATGAAAGAGAAGAATAAGAACCGGGTATTCTTAAAGGTTTGATGTTTATACAAGGACCAACAAGCCCAAGAACATACAAGAGCCGGATAAGGTCGCAACCTTGAAATCTTAGCAATAAGGTTCGAAAATATTGGACAATTAAATAGGAAATGTTCAAATGTCGATCAGATGGTCACACCTTAAGCTTCAAAGTCTCTTCTGAAACTGTAGACGGGAAACTATTAAGGGGCATGTCGATCAATGTTGTTACACCACCTGTAAGAAGAAATAGGAAAGACAAAGTAAAAAATGAATATAGTAGAATGAATGAACATTTGTTTACATACGGAACCAACCATTAACATACAAATGCCTGAATGAATATTGAATCGTCGAATCCAAGGCCCTTGAATTTTCGGAAACTTATATCTACAAAAATGTTTAAAAGAAATAATTCAGATATATATATATGTATGAATACCAGCAGCAGCTGCTCGGGTCCCAGAAGGAAATCCTTCCCATTCAGTCCTCCCAGGATCATCAAGATGTGCATGTCTGCCATCAATGCACCATGAAAAGAATGTTATATCGTAAAAAATATCAATTTAAGGAATTGATAAAGGAAGGATAGGAGTTGAAGCAAAGAGTTTTGCAATCTTACACATCAATCAAACCAGGCATTATAACGGCATCCCCATAATCCAATACCTCTCCACTCTTAACCATTCCTCTCCAAGTAACTTCATCAACCACAGATATGATGCTTCCTCCCTTCACCTCAACTATTAATTTTCAAATGTAGAGAGAAGCAGTTTGGTGAATAAACTTGACTTATTAGTACGATTCAAAACTGTATTATGTTATGAAAATTTTTGCTACATTTGACTCGAATTAAAATGTTAAATTATGATTTTTTTATTAGTCAATTATATGGAGTATATATTAATGGTCAAAGTTGGGTATTGTCAAACGTGAAAGCCAATGTTACAACTAAATAATAACGGAGAAAGTATAGTATGCACGTACAATAATAATAACAATAAAGAGACTGAACAAACCTGCACCACAGATGATCCCTTTTGGCGTCACTATACGCTTGCTAGCAATCCAGAAATGGCTGTGAGATTGAAGGCTGCACATGCTCCTTGAGGGCTGAACAAATGAATGCAAAGTAATTAAATGAACGTGTGATGTAAATTGACACTAAAAAGAATAAATCATTCATTCATTTTTTTACACTAAGAATTTTGCATACAACAAAATCACGAAATTTCGTTGGACCCAGGTTAACCCCTTAGGCCTTCGATCTCTACGCCCATACTCAGCTGCAAAATGTACTATTCTAAAACTGGTTCGGTTTAAAACTAAGTTCAAAGTCAAAAAACTTAAAGTAAACAAGGTGGGCCTAAAATGAAACCTAAAACAACAAATATAACAAAAAACATATGGACTGCTATCTTATGATGGGAGTTAGCCAAGAAAATTGAGAGATTAAATATAAGAGGGCAGGGCGGGGTGAATGAAACATTGTGATTCAAATAAACCTTTGAAGAGATATCGAAATAGAAGAGTAGAAAGGAGGTTAGCAGGGGTAGAAGAGTCAGTATACTCCATTTCCTCGATTCCATCACACTTCTTCTCCTTCAGCAACAAACTTTTATGTTTCTTGTCACACAAATGTCACCCACGCAAAAGCATGTGCAGATAGTCTATTTTAGTCATTTACGTATGTATGAATGGTTTATAATTGATGCTGATGAATCGGAGGATATTACGGATGGGATTGGGTGGACCCGGCATGGATATACGATGGCAGAATCTTTTTCTTTTAATGAAACAGAATATGAATATTTAAGGAACCAATAATTGGCAAGCTACTGTCCCGCTATTCCGAGTGCTTGCCGCCATGGTGTTGTTTGCACTGGTTACCCCTCCATTTCAAAGTGTTACAAATAGTTTATTTAGGGGGCGAAAGGAGCAAAAGCTAGTGTTCCGCTGAAAGTGTAGAAATACTTCTGGTTCTCTAGTTTACTCCTCTAATCAGATTTTTTAGAAGTTACTGAAGACCGACTTCTGAAAACTGATTTTTATTCTGGTTCTGCTTTAAAAAAGAAATAGAAGTAAAATCTGTTGGAAATATGCCCTCGGACAATCATAGTTTATGATTTATCAATGAATATTTAATGATCATTAATTAATAAAGTCGCAAACTCATGTTATGTTAATTATTAGAGTTAATTATCAAAATAGGACTAAAAGTCATTCACTTTTCACAAATAGGACCAAAAAATAAACTATGTTTGCATAGGACTAATTATGTGTACCTTGGACAATTATACCCTTATAGCTATTAAAATGTTTTAATTCCTAATAAAATAATAAAAAATAATAAAAATTCGTAAAAAATACTAAAAAATTAAGAAAAACATTTCGATATTAAAAATTTAATTATTTTTTTTTTCAAAAAATTAAAAAAATTAAAAAAAAAATAAAAAATAAAAACTCAAAAAAAAATCGCCGCCGCCTTTGCCGCCTCAGCACCACCACCTCCAGTCACCAGAGGAAAAAATGCCAAGTTCATTACGAATGCCATATTTATGGCAGAAAAAATGAAAATGTTGGCATTCGAAAAGAGAAATATGCCACTTTTTTGGCATTTTCAGAAAAAAATGGCATTTTTCTGGGAAAATGGCATTTTTTCATCGGCCGGAGGTGGTGGTGCTGGGAGGTAGTACAGGCGGTGGGAAATGTTAGTATATATGTCCTAGTGACAATCATTTTTTTAAAGACATGTACTTGATCACATTTAGTTTTTTTTTATTTGATATATACACGGTATTACAATTTATGATATATATTTCAGCTTAAATCGATCCCGATTATCGCAATTCACCGTTTGACAACTTATTATTTGTGCTAATTAATACTATGTTTATGTGATTTGTATTTAAGAGTAGTTAATTTAGTACAAGAATATATGTCATAATATGACGCTTACTCATTTGGACCTTAATTGATCATACACAAACCCAGTTCAAACCTATTTTCAAAAATTAGGTCTCTAATTTTAATAATCCAAAACGTACTTTAAGATTAATTTTTTAGTTTTAGCTAAAATTGGACCCAAATAAAAGAGATTTCATCTCTACCTAAAAACAACTTTCTCTAATAAAATCCCCTACAAATGTAACAAAATCTTAAGTAAAGAAACATTCAGAGTCCGTTTGGTAACACAAAAATTGGCTGATTCGATTGATTCTGTTGAAATTTATGAAGTTCTGGCTGAAGTGACTGCATTGGCTGATTCTGCTGATTTAAAAAAAAAAAAATTTAAATATATTTTATTCATAAAATAAAGGAAAAATTAAATGTAAAAATAGCTAAAATGATCATCTATAGTAACTTCAGCCAATACAACCAGAAAAGTAACTTCAACCTTACTTTTTCTGGTGAATTGTGTGATAATAAGAAAAAGTAAGGTTGAAGTTACTTTTCTGGTTCTATTGACTGAAGTTACTATAGATGAATAATACAATAATACATACGTTCGTGTATAATACGATACAATTATATAAAATACGGCTAAATATATGTTTCATACGTTCGTGAAATGAATAAAGATATAAACGTGTTTTAAACGTTTCACAATTTAAAAATACGGCATATAATACATGTCTTATATACTAATTTAATGATGAGAATAAAGAGTAATTTAGCATATGCATTACATTCTTCAACAGTTTAAAATGTACGGAATAGTTTTTCGGATATACGAATTTTAATTCATAGTACAATAAATAATAAAAATGATATTGTCTATTTGTGTAGAAGTAGAGAAATATTTCTAGCGAATAGTTTATATTATTGTGACCGTAAATTTGGTGAGCCGCCATAATATTCTTTTCTTTTTGGAGTTTTGGTATGAGTGGAGAATAAGAGTAACAATAGTAATATAAAAACAAATTATGAATTTAAGAAGCTAATTTATTAAAACTGATGACTATTAAACAATTAACGAACGTATAAGACATAATAGTTTTTTAAGCATTATAAATACTCCCTCCGTTCCGAAAAGGTTCGCCAACTTTGACTTTCACGTGGATTAATAAAGTAAAAACTGTGTGGTTGAAATTTGCGCAGAGGAGAGAGAATTAACTTTAGCCACACATTCCTTACTTTAAATGAAAATGACAAATCTTTTTGGGACATCCAAAAAAGGAAATGTGGCAAACCTTTTCGGGACAGAGGGAGTAGTATTGAGCAGCTAAACATTTCACTTCAGTTGTATCACTCCATTAGGCTTCAGTTTAATGGTATTTTTTAATAAAATACATATCAATACATACGATACGTGTATTATACTTTTTATCCTTAAAGTACGTGAATTTTTAAGTATTTTCTGAAAAATTCATAAACGGAAGTATTATACGCGAATTATACGTTTGAGTGTATTATACGTGAATTATACGCGAATAAACTAACAGAGTTAATATAGGTAGTATGTGGTGAAGATTACCCTAGAGGTGAGCCATGACTAGGGTTGTAAACGAATTGAATAATTTTGATTCGATTCGCGATTCGAATTCGAAATTGATGATTCGAATTCGAAATATTCGAATACGAATCAATGTTATTATTCGAATAAAATTCGAATACGAATACGAATATACATATATTCCATTCGTAAGTTATTCGAATATATTCGATCTGTATATTTATGAATTATAAATATATATTCTATTATATTTATAATTTATATAATTGTTTAAAATTAAAATATAAAATAGCTAATATGTATTCTAGGTTGACTAATTGAATTAACTTTGTTTACTTTATTTGTGTGTGTTTCTTTAGCAATTGAGTTTTGAAGTAATTGAATTTTTGAAATAATTCATTTAATAGACATTTGTGAAAATCAAAAAATGCCTAAAATGAGTCATAATTTGAATAGGTGATTTTTTTTGACAATTCAATTATTTGAATTGGAATTCGAATATTCGAAATCGAATATTCGAATATGAATATACTCAAATACAATATACGAATCGAATATGAATCTATTGTAAGATTAGAATAATATCCGAATACGAATACGAATATTCGTCAATTTATACGAATAATATTGCTCACTATTCGATTCGATTCGTTTACCACCCTAGCCATAATTGCATACCACTTAGAATAGATAGTAGTATTAACTTCACAGTCCGCCACGAACCTTCCTAAAAAAGTGTCACGAACCAAAAGCAATCAATCCACCAACGAAGCCCACCGTTTTTTACCAACAAAGCCACTTTTTTCACCGACCCTATTTTTAGACCCAATTTCTCTCTGGCCCCTCCCCCGCGGCCCGCCTCAATCACATCGCCTTCCACAAAATCAGGAAACGGAATTCCTTGATTCTCCGCCGAAATGGCCGAATCGTCACCGTCAAAGGAAGAATCACTGGATGCACCACTCCACACAATCGGCTTCGAGATCGGCGACCTCTCCCCGGAGAAAGTCACCGGGCGGCTGCAGGTCACCCCCAAGTGCTGCCAGCCTTTCAAGGTGCTGCACGGCGGGGTTTCTGCGCTCATAGCGGAGGCGCTGGCTAGCATCGGCGCGCACATGGCGTCCGGCTTCAGGAGAGTCGCCGGGGTTCACCTAAGCATCCACCACCTCAGGCCCGCCCGCGTCGGCGACGCCCTTCTCGCCGAGGCGACGCCGGTGAACGCCGGGAGGACTATTCAGGTTTGGGGGGTGAATATTTGGAAGGCCGCCGGTGAAGGCTGCGGCGAAGAGAAGGGAGTTCTGATATCGTCGGCCAGAGTGACTGTGATGGCGAACATGCATGTACCGGAACACGCCAGAGACGCTGCTGAGAATCTCAAGAAATATGCCAAATTATAATAAACTAGTAAACTCACCCGTGTCAAATTTATGTGTGCTTAGTGATTCAAATTCCACTATCAATTAATGTCATCATCTATCTTATCTTCATGTAATACTAATATACATAAAAGCATTAAACGAAACACACTTATTATATTATGGTCAAAATGAGAGTACTAAACATTACTTAAAAGATAAAAAACATCCAACAAATACGTTGAAATCATCACATTGTAAATATGCATTTAATGTAAACCTAAACATTGTTAAACACTTCTTTGAATACAACATTCTGAGTCTTGTCATTTTGTCAATGATTTCTTCATCTTCATCACCAATTAGAATTTTTAAATTTACACGAATTGCTTTTTTTAGACGAATTGTCTCTCCAAATAGGTAAAATAAGGGAGTAAAATATGTGAAAGTGTGTTATGTCATTCTTGAATTATACTTGAATTTAAATTTGTGGGAAAATGTTCAAATAGGTGCTTCTACTGTTTCTAATATCCAAGTATGTTCTAGTCTGGTTTGTTTAAGTTTGGTTTGGTTTGAGACTGAAATAAGTCTAAGTATAAACATCTCAAGTAATATGGTGACTATGCATTTATACGAATTGCCTTTTTTACACGAATTGCCCAGGTAAATTGGCAAATCATAGAGTGTGCAAATATGTGAAAGTGTGTTATGCCATTATTTAAACAATACTCAAATATGATAATTCTTCAATCGGGCCTTAACCGGCTCTATTCGATCCTAGACCGAACCCGTGCGATGCACGGTTCGGCCCGATTGTATTGGGCGTCTGGGCCAATCGGGCCTTAACTGGCTCTATTCGATCCTAGTAGAGCACCCGTGCGATGCACGGTTTGAAAATTTTTACGATGCAATTAATTTTAACCAAATTTAAAGTTAAAAAACTTCTAATTTTACTTGAATCATTTACAATTGTTCTATGTACAATAATAAAGTTTGACGTAAAAAAAACATATTCAGTATGATCTATCAATGATTACTGAGTAGTTCACACATTTTATAGACCCACAATATTCTCTTATTCAATTTTTGTTCCACGGTCATTGTATGCAATGTAATTGTTTAACGCTCGACAGATTGATTGCTCCTGACACAACCACATAAATTGACAATAACTACTAATGAGTGTTTTCAACAACAAACCATGCAACACGGGACACCAACTGTTTTTGATTTTATTTACATTCATGATACAATAAGTCATGTTTAGGTAATCTAGTATCCGGAATTGCAGTGGCTAACGTCTTAAGGTGTTAAGAAATGCTTCGAAATTAACACTTTCTGTCCCGCACTAACTCGTGTTAAAATTAAAATCCTTCCTTCTAGTAAATTCACCCTCACAATGCACAAATGATTTAGCAAATATTTTTTTCATTTTCTAAATGATTGCCCGGGTAAACATGCAAAATAGGGGGTGTGCAATAATGTAAAAGCGTGTTATGTTATTTTTAAACTATACTTGAATATAAATTTGTGGGAAGTGTTTAAAGAGATCCTTATATTATTTCACACATGTGTGTTGGCCATATACGAAAAAAAGTAATGGTTTCATTAAGTACATTTACTTTTAAAACACATTCAATCAAGGCATTTTGAGCCACTATGGTGGTTCGTTTTCTAAATAACTTCACATAATTGATTTTTTTTATAAAAGCACATATGCATTTTCAAAATATATAAATAAAAGTATAAAGAATGCTAAAAATAATGTCAAAATCGATAAATGCTAAATCCGTTTTCAAATAAATAAAATACATGAAAACCTACATCATATAGAATTACAATGCAAAATTCTTAAAAAGTAGAATATACGAATAATTAGAAAAGAGCGAATAAAATATAGATTTTATATTCATATTTTTTTCTATTTTTTATAAAAAAAATACAACCCAAATAGGAAAGTGTAGCCAGCTTTAAAATACGGAGGGAGTACTCCTTCATACGTATTAACTTAAATGTCCAAATTTGGGCATTCATCTAAACTGAAGAAACCTTAAGCTATTTGTACGGGCCGATCCAGAGCAGCCTATGTGTTCTTCGTGTTCAGCAACTAAACGGGCCGCAGAAGTAGCCCAAAAATCCATGTAAACCCCTCCCAATGTAAGTGCGTTTATAACGGCTCTGAAAATGACCCCTCCCACAAACCCTCCCACAAACCCTCCCCTTTCTTCGCTGACACCTAGCCAGATTGACCATCCCTCTCTCTAAACTCCGACCACGACGCTCAACCGCAGTTTATCCGATCGACTGAAAAAATGAAGTGGTCGTCGAACATCATCGCCATGTTCTCATCCCTTATCCCACCGTGAAGACACAAGCGAACGAATATCGGCACAATACAGCGTCAATCTGCGCATTTAGTCAGACTGCACGGTAAGTTCATTTCCCTTCTTCTACGTGCAAGCCTTCGCCGATTTCATGTTTTCCAAGAATAACCAAACTAAAACTTTTTTTTTATAACTACAACACACAAACTTTACAGATTTGGAAGTTCCATGGCCATGGATCCATAAACGTTTCATTCTTCCGCCTAGATTTACATGTCAGGGGTAAGATCTAAATCCAACCACCTCACAAACCACATCTCGCTTTGACGTTTATCACGAATAAGCAACGACAAACCGATTTTATACGAACAACATCATCCAAAGCCCACAGATCTGGAAGATCTGTGTTAATGTTTCTAATCGATTTTCATTTCTAGATTTGTTTTGATAATTTTTTAATAAAATATTAATCTCGTTTTTTTATAAATCAATCATCAAATACACATTTTTTTGACAAATATGCATCCTAAAACCGACTTTATGTGAAGCACATCATCGAAACTCTACAAATCTGGACTCCATACGTTTATATTTAAAAATCTTTTTCATTTCCAGTTTATGTTGATAATTTCCGATGGATAATTTTTTAACAAATAAGCATCCTAAAATTATGTTTATCATTTTTCATTCTCCAAAAAATATGGATGATGTTTGTTTTCATTTTTAACAAAACACACTTAAAACATTTTTTAAATTTTTTTAAAGACACTTTAAACACAACACTTCCACCAATTTTAAAAATTGTACACTTGTACACACACGTGCGAACAAACATGCCATGTACCATTAATAGTAACACAATCTCATTAAATACAACTACACCATCTACCTTTAAATATTTCGAACTGTTGGGAGACCGATGAACTCATTCATGAGGTTGAACAACCCGAAACCCGAATCGCCAAAAACGAATTCCAAACGGTTATTGTGTACCCATTATTTGTCCCCAACATCCAATCTCCACTCCCGCCCTTCTCGACCCGGTATATCAAAAGACAACATAGATGTAACACACACCAAACACATAGACTTCTATGAATTTGATAATTTTAAGAGAGCTTTTTTTATTTAAATAGCACAACTCTAATAAATACAACACTTTACTTAAAAAATATCCCTTCCATCAATGTCTTTTGAATTTATTTTTTTTGTCCAACCTACTATTATAAAATTACGATATGTTTTTTTCAATCAATTTTTGGTGAAATCAATTGTTACAAAATAATACTACCAACTTGAGCAATAATATATATTCATTGATATGGGAATGAATGAATGTGAAAACCTTCTTACATTCACATTGCTTTTAAAGGTGAAAGTCCATTGCAATCTTTTAGGAATTTGGAAACAATCAATAAGCTTCATTATGCCCACCACCCATTTCAACCAATAAGGTTTAAGTATATGATTATTCCCACCACCCATTTCAACCAATAAGGTTTAAGTATTTGACTATTCCCACCACCCATTTCAACCAATAGAAAATTAGTATTTCAATCAAAATAAAGTATCCAATAAAAATTAAAATAAAATTTGATGTTGACATTTCTTGGAGGGAACACTATTCCTCAAACTTATTTTCCTTTTATATTAGAATAGATAAATAAATAAATAAATAAATAAATAAATAAATAAATAAAATAAAATAACCAATTGCATAATTTTTTTTTCGTTAACCGAGATTTAGGGGGTGTCCCCAACATGGAATCTGATGGATTTCAAAGGAATTTAAAACTCCACCAAAATTTGGGTGTCCTAAATTCGGATTTCTATGGAGTCTATTAAAATATGGGTGTTCTTAAACATTCCATGGATTTCAACTGTTATTATTTCGATGGAGTTTAATGCCTTGTTTGGTTCAAAGGAGGGGAGCGAAGGGGAGAGTCAAGGAGGGAAGGGAAGGGAAGGGAAGGGGAAGGAGAATTTTGACAAAATTTTGTGTTTGGTTGGAGGAAATAGGAGGAAAGGTTTAATGAAAATATTTTCATAATTTACTTTTATTTGATAGCTTACTTAAAAAATAGATACATGTCTAACTACTATGAATATTACTCCTATGGTCATGAGTCATAATTTTATTTTATTTGATTTTTTACTTTTTTAATTTTATATTTTTTCGTTTTTTCAGTTTGGCATTTTTATGTTTTTTATTTTTATTTTATTTTATTTTTTTTAATTTTTTTAATTTTTAATTTTTAATTTTTAACATTTTTAATTTTTTAATTTTTGAATTTTTTAATCTTTAAATTTTTAAATTTTTATATTTTTAAATTTTTAAATTTTTAAATTTTTAAATTTTTAAATTTTTAAATTTTTAAATTTTTAAATTTTTAAAAATTTTTGTTTTTTACCTTTTTATATTACAACGTTTTGTTCATTCACATAAGAGATGGATAGTTTGTGGTTATCAACACGTTTCCTCTGAAATAACCCGATTTGAGGGATTTTGAATGGGAGAAAGTGGAGGATTTGAAAGCCTTCCACTTTCCTCCGACCAAACAGGGCCTAAAGGATTTTGATAGGAAATTTACGTGTAAATGATTCCATCTGAAATATTGCCGGCGGGAGAAAGGGGCGAGATAACTGGTCCATGGCTCCTGAGGTTGCCGGTGAATAACTCCAGCTTGAAGCTTTCATGGCATTTCTCATTGGATTCCATGTATACCAGCTGGATGATGGCATCGTTCTTTTTCTTCGATGCAAGAACCTCAAGGGCCACAAAACAAGATGGGAAGCTCCAGAATGAGAAGGAAACCTGCTACTCACTTGGAAACCTGCTACCCATTTTTATCCAC